ACTTAACCGGAAGACAGCTTCGAAGACATAAGGTAGATAGGAAAGTGTCTAGAATGTAGCCAGTAAAGGCATATAGTGATACATCGCCGCTGGAAGAAAGAACAGCGTACTTATTATCTCCACATACCTCAACGATCAAATGTGAACTTAACATACTCCAGTTAGCGGTATCAGTGAAAGGTGCTTATGTCGTTGGATGGGGCAGGTATGAAAGAAGAGCGGAGAGCAACTTGCAACTCGGCTCTGATATGGCATGGTGTTGTAGTCAATGTGAAGGCACTCTTGTTCTGTTCAGGTGCTCACTTTGGATCTCTCCTAGTCTCCTCTCCTAATTGTGGTTGTTGGGTAGAGCTAGACCCTTTGCTGTCATATTACCTATGATAGCTCTAGTCATACCCGTGTTGGACTATCAAGGAGACTGGTTTTGGGAAATAAGGGGACGAGAAAAGATTCACCGTTAGAACTATCATTATCGGTGCGGCGTGTTGGTGGTAGTATCAACAAGCACATGGGTAGACGAATTGAGAGTGTGAAAAACAAGCATTTCTTTCTTCCTTTGAGTACCTGAACTATCGAGACCAGAATCACTCGATTCGCTATCTTCGGTTTCCTAGCTCTCCAAACTCTGGCACTACTGGTACCCAAAGCCAAAAACACCAATTCCACACATGAAACACGGCATGCTAATACACCCTTTAGAAACCCTCATCCGACCCCACAAGTTCACTCGGTTCATTGTCCTCCTCTCTCGGTTGGTTCATCTGCTTGGCTTCGATGGTTTTGTCGCCGGGAAGCACTCGTCTCCAGAACCGTTCCGTCATCTCCGATCTCCATGCCCGAAACTCCTAGACCTTCCAGGACCATCCTCTCGCTCTTCTCCTCTATCGACGTTGAAAGTGGACCCAAAACTCGCTCCTGACGATGTAAACAAACCTCTTATCAAGCAAAGCCTTGCCCGCCCATGGTTTGTTTTGATTGTGGTGACAATTCAGGGGTTAGCCAATGGCCTGAAGCCCACTGGAGCTTCCAGCGCCACCAGATTCAGGGGTCCGATCGTGGAGTGGGGCGGCGGCGCTCGCCAAGCATGGAACAGGGGTGGTTTGTTGACATCATCCAGGGGTCGACCGCTTGGACGCTGGTGGACGACAGCGACACGATGTGGCCGATAAAACATTTCAAGCTCATATAGATGTGTAGAGAAAGAGCAGAACGCTCGAACGAAATTGTCCGACTCTCCATGGATGTTGTGGTTGTCAACCTCAAAGGTGATCGATGGTCGGTGGTGTGGTTCCTTTGTTGATGCAGGTACGACAGGCCGAGCCGCGATACCCTTGTTCACAAACCCAAATACAACGACATGCCATTGATGACAGCATGCCTTAAATGATGTAAGGACAGCCGCAGTGTATGATCCAAAGAACAAAAGGGTCGGGTTATGGGGGCTACGATTTCGGAAACTTTGCCGAGGTCGTATGATGATGCCAGCGTCGTCGAAGGGCAAAGGTTGATCAAGGAAACCCGAGGAGAAAGTCCAGCATGCTGCGAAGTGGAATGCTTTGCTTTGATACAGGGAGCACTGATTGGCATGGCTGCATGAAAGATGCATGGTGCTGGTCGTGCTTGCTGGTCCGGGGAACTGTTGGAACCAATGGAAGGTATCAGTGCTCGGCCACTCCTGGCCGGATAAACTGGGCAGAAGGCCTGGTGTTGACCTTCTCGCCGGTCGCGACGTCAACGAGCTTGTCGCCGTCAACATCGACCTCCTTGTTGCCGATGCGACGCATAAGATCCATCAAGACTCAGGGAAACTCGACTGAGATGGACCGAACCGAGTCGCTAGGTTGAGACAGGATGTCAAAAGGTCGAGAAATGGGCCGTCGAAGCTGTGGGGAAGGCGGCATTTGGGGTGCATGGCAGCACATGTGGGTCCGAATTGCTCGGGAGTTCGGTCGAGGGCATGCAGCAGCGTTCGAGAAGCACGGTCTGCATTGATGAACTGATTTTCGAGCTTGTTCAAGAACTCCATCTCTGCTCTTGCTGGGCCTGCTTCGCTTTCTCGGCCTTTTCCTGCTCGGTCCTCTCCCTCGCTGTCGGGAGTGCTTTCAGCCTAGACCTCGTCGGCAAACCATCATCTGGCTCTTGGGCCCAGAACGATCACTATGTGACCCGTTCGGCTGCCCCTTTTCTTGCTTAAAAGCTCTTTTAGACGGAGCTTTCAGTGTCGTTCACCAAACGAAAAGGTACAACTAAGAGAAAACCCTTGTTGGCGGTGACTTCGAGTTCGGGGAGGCGGTTGTCTGCTACTGTTGTAACTCTTGATCCATTTTGACCACCGTCGATGCTTGTTTGTACGGGAATCGTCGCTGGGATTGATGACACTCCGCGGAAAGAGAGCTTTGAGGGCCGATCCGGGTGGTGGTTGAGGAGGGACCGGGACTTTTGATCTGGCAGATGGAGTGCGGCGGTCGGTTTAGACGTGAAGAGTTTGACGTGTTATCCCCCGGGGAAGACCAAATGGTTCACCGATGATGATCATTTCGACCCCTACAACTACTGGAGTTAGCCGGACTGCTTGAGAGGACATGTTGCCACAGGAGATGCAAACCAACCCTTTTGGTGTCGATTCACTGCAGGTCGAGCTTGTCGCGGGCTACGATGAGCTTCTCGCCTGCGTAGCGCTCACGCATGATGTCGAGCCAGTAGCCGCCACGAGAGTGGAGAACAAGTTCGAGTTCATTTGAAGAATAATTTGCCGAAAGCGATTCGCATGCGCATTCTGTTGGGAGAATACCGCAAGCCATCACCCACGCGTACCAGTCGGTTGTGTCCGTCGAAGTCTTTGTCGGAGCAGAAGACGCTCGAAATATCGTGCTCGGTAGCAAGTCTGACCAAGTATTGCTTGGCAAACTGGCATCGCTGTGTGAACGCCGGGAGATGAGGTGTTGCTAGGAGTCTCTGGAGCCGGATCCGAGTACAGCTTGTACTACAACTGGAACGGAAACTGGCGCTGGAGCTGGAGCTGGAGCAAAAGCCGGAGCTGAGGCTGCTCGTGCTGGAGCCGGTCTCTGGCACGGGTGGGCGTATCGAACAGTGATCGGAGTAATCGATATCTCAGGTTCATCAACCAAAAAGAGAGGACTGAGGTCTCCGTCAAGGCGCAGGTGCTGAAGGTGGACGACTCTGTTGGTTCCCGAGGACGAGCAGGAGGAATTCAAGGACAACAAGTCACATGATTCCCGTCAGATCAAGCACCGGGTGGGTAGAGGCCAGAGGGGTAGCCTTGTCCCTCCTTACCTAGTCAGTAACTGTCGCTGATGGGGAGCTACTGGAACTGTACCTCTAGGCCAGTAAACCATCAATTATGCGGCACCTGTGGCTTCCTTGTCGGCTCTTTGCTAGTACTGTGGAATTCACACGGTGTGGCCTGGAGGGGATGGAACTACGGAACTAGTGCCCCGGCCTGGCAAGTGAAAGGAGGAGAGGCAAGCTGAACAGGAAGCCACGGTCTGGATACTTACCTTGACTGTCTGTTTCTGAAGTCCCTTCACGCGCCAATGATATTTGCGTCAAGGACCGTGCGCCCTCACGGGGTCCTTCTTCCTCGTCAGGTACTTGCCGGTACTTTCTACACCAAGAGATTGACCGAGAAGGCTCAGTTCATGCACATTGTGGTCGCTATCAGATTGGACTTGACGGTTGCAAATAAGTTGAGTGTCGTGAAGTTGTGTAAAGGTACCTTACCTCTAGGCAGAGACAAGACATCTCAGATTTCCTTTTATCTCTCAAAAACCAAGAGTTATTATTTTGTTCACCTTTGCACGTTAAAAGTTGCCCAGAACCATTTACAACACCATGCCACTTGATCTAGTTCGAGAACAGAGATTGGGATACATTATAGGTGGAAGTACCACATTTTGCAAATTGACTAGTAGTCCAATGTTCGAGTTAATCCCATCTTTGGTGACTCTCCCTCCAGTCGTTTGCTGCGTTTCTCATCACAAAGCTGCCTTCCCCTTTCTAGGACAGAGAGTCACAATATGTACTGCTTGTGATTTACAATGGAACGTAAACGACAGTCACAGGTTTACACACTGTTGCAATTATGATAAGCATAGTAGATAACCTGTGAGATCATTAAACACCAAGTCTAGAGGTACTTGAGTATAGCAGTGCTGGCTGAAAGTCATAACAGGTAGAAATATTGGCTCAACTGATTGTCTAGGTAGCTGGTGATCTAAGTTCCTTTCTTCTCTCCTTCCATTCCTTCGAGGTTCCTTTCTACTTGCTGTCCAACAGATCCCGTAGACATCACATTCATCATTACGGTGTGGTAAAGCTTCGAGTAGAGATGACGCTCATTTGGTCCCATAATACCATGGGAAGTGTCACGTCCTTCACTCAAGTATTTGCCTCATATCGTCCGGTCTCCCAAAATCCTCCTTGAGCTGGATGATAATGCTTTGAAGGACTGGAATAGAATTTCTCAAACACGCATAGTACCTGCCATCCAGAAAGTGAGAGCCAGGCTCCCAGTCTCGAGTGCCCGTTCCCGAGAAAGTACCCAAGTACCTCAAGCTGCCAGCTACCTATCAACACCCGGGCAAGTTCGCTCCTTCCATCTTTCCCCTGAAGGTCGAGAACTGCACTCGAATTGCTCATCTGATCTCTGCCTGATGACGAAGACAAGCGAAGAGGCTTGCCCTACCCAACAATACGAGTCGAAACAACCTGAGGCGCCCACAAATCTGATTTTTTCAAAAGGCTGCCCTCTTCTGTTCTCTCCCCCTTCAGATTTTTTCTCCCCGCAACACAATCACATCAACACATCAACCACCACCACCATCGCCTCTTTGGCACAATTGCAACCATCAAAGCCATCTTGGCGAGGCTCCTTCCTTCGCGTTAAGTATCACACTTCACATTCCTAACATACTCTTCCTGGTCAGAACGTCTTCGTTCTGAAACTGCCTTTTGTTGCGCCATCATCCGGCGCCGCCAACATGAACCAAAGCGGAATGGAAGTAAGTAATCCCATTCTGAATCCTGAGGGTAGTCGATCATACAATATACTAACATTGAACGTTCCATCAGCGCCGCGTCTACAGCCATCGCGAGATGGTGGCCGCCCTCGGTCTGGTCCTCCTCAAACAGGGAGGCCACCGCGAGCCAACGCCGCCGGCCACCCCCGGCCCCAACCTGCCCGCCAGGCCCGCGCCTGCTACCGCTGCAGCGGTGCGCCGCCTTCCGGCCCCTGGCCAGGGAAGCCTCCCTCCGAGGCCCCGCACACCGGAGGGCGGGTGGTGCCCTGCCAGCCCGGTCAACAACCACCGCCAGCAGACTGCCCACCGCCAGCAGACTGCCCACCGCCAGCAGACTGGCCACCACCATCACCACCACCACTCACACCACCACCACCATCGCCCTCACGACCATCAGCAGCAACAGCTGCAGCTGCAGTACCAGCAGCAGCAGAACCATCCTGCTCCGGGCCCGGTGGTGCCCTACCAGCATACCACCACCACCACAACCACTACCACTGCGGTTCTCCCCCCTCCCCCTTTCCCCAACTTCCCTTCTCCCCATATGTGGCAGCATCCACAGCAACTGCAACCTCCACTCGACGAGGAGAATATCGTCCCGCCGCCGCCGCGGCGCGCTGGTAACAGCCGTCGCTGGTGAGCGGTGGGCTGGAGAGGAGGATGAGCGGGGGCGGTGGTGGCCGTGGCGGTCCCATACGCCGGGTTGACGACGACAACGACGAAGGCGCCTACCAGTGCTATTTTTGCTGGTAAGAGTGTGTTCTCGGTTGGAGTGTCAGGTCAGTGGGGGAAGAAAGGGTCGGATATGGAGGAGCCAATTTTGCAAGCATTGGAGGCAGCTTCAAGACCAAGGAGTCGCAACATTGCCCCTGTCCCTCGCTTCATGTTTTGTGTTATTCTTGTATATTAGTATATCTCGGCGTTGAACGCCTTCAGCCAACTACGACGGCTGATTAATATCATAATTCCTCAACTTCATACTTCCCATCGTGATACTTCATCGTCTGGTTCTCCTGAATGCCATCATATCACATGTGACTTGTTGTTGTTCCCTGCTCCCACTTTCTCAATGTTCCTGTGCTCCCATTAAATCCTCTACCTGTTGTCGGCGAGGAGTGTAATCTCAAAGCCTGATGGTTGTTTCATTGCCTCGCGAAAGATCAAGGTTGGGTCATGTTTGATCACGGGATACAAAACCGGTGGGTCAAAACACAGCCGAGACACTCGCTCATATCTTCACCAAACCATCCAACACCAACAATCCAATGGTTCATGAGTGAAAGATCGAAGTTCAAATGCAAAGTGGAGGCTACTTGAATGGTATCACATTTTTTCGGAAGTTTAAGAAATGATGTTGATTGAAGGACGAATTTTCGTCAGGTCGTGGCGCGCTACACCAAGCCCTTGAACACGAGCAGCGATGAGTATGATGTTCTCTAGTAGACTCTTCAACTTGCGATTGCTGCTATCTTCACGCTACTGTACATATAACTCGACAATCTCCCCTAAAGTGTTTCCTCTTGACTCCGTTCCTGTCTAGTGTCCGTCTAGAGTTAGAGGTATCAACGAACCTCTTCCTACCGTGTACCACCGTAGTCGGTGAGGGGGCCTGAATCTGGGGTCAGTTTCTTTGTCGTCGGACGATGTGTGATGAAAAGATGTGTCGCGAGATCGAGCCATCTCTGGAGTTCCACTCACAGAAATAAGCGGCACCCTCGGTGCGGTACTTTTTTGCCAGTCGTTGTGTGCTGTTCCAAAACTGCCCATCGCTGCTAGGACCGGCATTCGTGAGGCTGCTCGTGCTGGTGCTGGTGCTGGTGCCCACTGCTTCCAGTCAACGCTCAGCGTCCCCCCTCTGGGAGCTGGCGGAAGTACTCCACAGGAATGATGGCGCGGCGAGGACCACGGAGATGTGCTGTTCTCCTGGCTGTTGCTCTGCTGAGACATGATGGGAAAGGATGGTGCAAGGCGACGGTGGCCTGCGTTTGGCGATGAGAGTATCGTGACAGCCAGTACGCGGGAGGCCTTGACAATGCTGCCCTGCATTTGTTTGCTCGCGTTAATAATGGTTGCGATGGAAGGGGTTGTTGTGACACAAACAAGGGAAACTCACTCGAAGGAGGCGCCATCTTGACTGCTGGCGCTGTCGGTGGTGGACAACGATCTTCCAGTCGGCATGTGCAAATACGCGGTCATGGCTCTCGCTCCTGACGAGGCTCTGAGGCCTCTCTTTAGCCGCGAGAAACTTTGAGGTCTGGAAGGTTGTGGTGTTGATGGCGAGTTGTAATAACGAGACACGTCGAGGCAGCTGTGATGGCGGGAGGGCAGGCTCGAGGGGGCGGTTCGAGATTGTCCTGGCTGAGTGTCGCGGGGTGTTTAGCCGCCTAACTGCCTTTGGCAATGTTCGGAGAATTTTGCAACGGATGCCCGTGAGGGCACTGGAGCTGAGTCGTCGTCGTTGTTAGCCCATGCCATAAGATACGACGAGAGAAGAGAAAGAACGGAAGTAGGTACACTAGTTCTGCTGCTTTACTCCATGTGGTACTTACATTCGCGATTGTGACCCCGCGTGTCGACCTGGTAGCCCAAGGACAGGGGACGGGAGACGGAGTTGATGTGCGGTAGAGCCCGGCAATAAAGGTATGATTGGATTGTAGACGAAAATGATCGAGAATGTTGACGGTAAAAGCACCTCATTGTTGGGAAAAGTGGTTGAGGGGTGGTAAATTCGTGAGTGTCTAGTGGGCATGCATGGAAACAAGGGCTTGAACACCTACAGGTAAGCAATACCAGACCACTCACGTGAGATACTTCCACTGTAACTGGCCGGGACACTGCTTTCCATATCCGAGCGCCAGCCATGGGCTTCAGGTTCAGGTCCCGTGCCATGCTGATGCCGGGTCGAAATCCTTGGCTCCCGTCTTTGCCAGCTGTCCCGGCGCGGTGGTCGGACTGCCAGCGAGCTTCTCTGTGCTCTTTCCCCTCCGGGTAGCTCCTTCCCTGGCAGGAGGTATATGGATTAGGCCACTGCCTTGTTTTTTCAACAAACGCGCGGTTAATTTAATGGTCAGAATATCGCTCCGTAAGACCGGGCTACTCTTGGCCACGTCCGGCAAGAACGAAGACACGGGTTCGATTCCCGAACCGTCGCCTACCTTCTCTTTTTGCAGTCTTTCGCTCTTCTTTTAGCTGCGCATTCCCTTCTATGTTGATAAATAAGTTCGAGTTGATGACTGGAGACACTATTGTATTTCTTCTGCGGCAGTTAGAATGAAGCTCCTTTTTGACTGCAGCTGTATTGTGGATAGATCTTCGAGTATCTCATCAAAATGATATCTCCTGACAATGTGGACTTCATTTGGAATGACATGGAACCTTTCATGTTTCTTTCGTTCTCATTCCCTTTACCTCCTCTGTCAACATGATCATGATAGACCCATACATATCAGAAGACACAGCTCTATGTCGATGGGCGCATATCCTCAGTGTAGTCGCAGATAACTAGAACCGCGGCCACTCTACAATCTTGTAGTAAACATCCTTTAATATGGGTCGCGGTGGAGGCCGAACCTTTTCGGGTAGCGAGATGACCGATGAGCGACGAGAAGACGTCGCGGCCGCGATAAGGGACAAAAACAGGTACATGAGAGATTATGGCAAGAAGCAGCGGCCCACGACGGAGAATCGTGCATCTCGCGTCGCCATTAACGCCAGGGCTCGGCCGAAAGTGGTGACCCGCCAATACCTTGCCCTTGAGAAGAAGCTCTACCCTTATCTGCGAGTTGTACTGGACGGGGACGGAGGCGGTGGCGGAGCAACAGCAGATGAAGACGGAGGCCGCGACGGATTGAGTCCAGGGAATTGTCGATATGAACAAGCAAAGACCAAAGACCCCTTACAGCCACGTAATTATACGCGGCAACGAGTTTCCAGAGGGGCCAGATAGAAACAAAGAATAGACTGACGAGTAAAGCCCGTCTGCCCAAAAGATTGCCCCAACAGCAGGTCGTTTGGCCCCGACTCTAGAAGCAATGCCTAAATGATCCCCAGCGCTCCAAAGGTCCCCGTGTGCCAATATAATCCCGATACGCTGCGTACGCCTTTGTGATGAAGGCTGGCTCGTTGTTGGATGCCGTCTCTAAGAATCGGTATAATATGTCGTGACTCACTCTTGGGCACGGCAAAGAGAAGTTTGCCTTCGAGGCTTTGGAAAACGTCAGCTTGTATGCCTTTTTAATGGCCATTGTAGATGTGCGGTCGACGGCGACGGGGAGTCGGATCGAATTCGAGCAACGGTGGTGGTGAGGATATGACTAACTGGTTTACCAAATCCATGATGGGCTATGTAGTGTAGAGGACGAAAAAAAGCGTGGGTATATTTGCGAAGAGAAGTTGGCGTCGAGGGTTTGTGGACTGGAATCGGAGGTTTACAGTCAGTCGAGTTTGCGATTTGGAAACAAAGAAGAGAGGGTTCTTTGATAGAGGCAGGACTTGTTGGAAGAGATGCCAGTAGAGGGAAGTACCAGGACAGGAAGAAGTCCTCTTGATTTTCTTCCTCGTTGAAGTCATCATCGCTTTCGCTAAAAGCCTCGGCGATTAACTCGTCCGTACTTTCTTGGAGATTGTCTGGCCGCATATCAGAAGCCGCAACGGCAATTTTGGCTCTTGGTGTCATCATAATGTCCAATATACGGACTGATACGACAACCTATGTCGGAAGCGCCACGCATAGAGTTCTTGGTGTTGCATCCCGCTTTGCGGACTACGATAACTTAGCACGTCTATCAACACGTACGACAGAGTGGGTAGACAATGGGTATACGATTACTCACAAAGCCTTACTCTGTACGTTGATCGGGCTTTTCCAGGACGAGAAGGTAGGTTGTATACTGCCCATTTAAGCGTACTACTCTCGGTAGTGGTATCGATTGGGAGTTCCTTAAACTGAGCGATTGTGGGAGGAGGCTTTCCGTTCGAAATAGGTCATTGAAAGCTGGGTCGACTGTGATAGTTTTAGAGAGGCGGTCCCATTCTGTTCGGTTAGGGATGTAGCGTTTGATATTCCAATGTATATTGTTTTCTGGTATGCTGATCGCTTCGCTCAGGAATATCCAGCTTCCCGATAGAAATTCCATTCCTTTGGGTTGACCTTATTACTACCCCGGTATAATACGGGTGGAGGGGCCGGGTTCAGGGACGGCTCTCCGCTGGGGTAGGAAATCAGAAGTCCGTTCCCTTATTCCTTCCTATGAGGCTCTTAAAGTACTTCTTTCCAACGTCAAATTTGCTCGTGGTGTTCCAGTCCTGGGCCGGAACTCTCAGCTTGGGTGGGGGGAACAAAACAAGAGAGCCACCAGAAACGAGGATCAAACACCTAGCACTCTGCAGCATCTCGCTAGTGTTCGTTCCTTCCTAAGGAAGGAACACCTCATCTTGGTGGTTTCGTGGTTGGCTCCTTCCCAACCCGGGCGTATAATGCCAGCATCCAAGACCTCCAGTTAGGGCAGGGGAACTACAACAGCCTGGAAACCGCTGGCCGAATTACTGCTCAATCCCGAAAGCGCCACATACACCATGGCTACCGTGCCCGACCAACAAAAGCAGATGACCTGGGAATTCCTGCCTGCATGGGATGTTGAAAGCACGAACAACGCTGTTGCATTACGAAAAGGGGACGACCACCGGCTCGCGATCTTTGAACGCAAGAACCAGCCTGCGCAGTTTGACCACAAGGTAATGCCCAGCCAGCAGTCTTACGTTCTCGATACTTCTCTCAGTGTCCTGTGCTCCTTCGTTTTTTGCGGATCTTCGGCATCATCTTTGCGTGGTGCTACAACGCCTCGATTCAGTATTGACTCTCCCACTCCGGTGGGTGAGTATTAAATCGCCTAGCGAGATATTGGGTCTTGGTAGTAACATCGCGTCGAGGTGTTATTGGGGTGAAGCTGAATGGGGAGTGCCGGGCAGTGAGAGAACTTGTCAACCGCACTCCTACAAGTCTACGCCGATGTGACGTCGGGTAGATGGATGAAGGCGGACGGGGCATCATTACAAGCCCTGGCCGGCCTGACTAGACGCTTAGCATCCGACAAGTATACGACGAGAGTACCGTGGGTCATTGATTTCCATTCAGCATGCCGATATCGAGAGGATCAAGGACCCGGCTTTCGAAGCCCTAGCATCAAGTATAGATACCTCTAGCAGGTAGTGTCAATGAGGCCAAGGTCCGTGGTTCAATCTAGTAGAATATCAGTTTTTCCTAACCAGTGACCATTTGTCTTACTGGAGGCAGAGCATGTCAGCGCAGACTTGAAACTTGAAGGAGTTGTGTTGGGCCGCCGCCACCTGGTAAGGTTGGCTGGCACTTGGCCCACTTTCACTTCCAGACCACACCAGTATTTTTTCCTTCTTTCTTTCTCTTCCCGTAGCGCTTTCTTTCTGAATCATCCACAATATCATCACTTCTTTCTTTGATTCAGCGGATCGCTTCCCACAAGTTGCCTACCTTACCCGCAAAGTTTCGTCCGATCTACCTTGTCCCGTCCCCCTTTCTAGTCGCGTCCGGTTTCAACTTTTCCAGGGACCCAAATATCGCAAGTGTCTCGACGTGTCTCGTTATTTGTATTACAACTCGCCATCAAACCAACAACCTTCCAGACCTCGAAGTTTCTCGCGACTAAACAAAGCCGACAAAGGTAAGAACTATCTCGGGTTCTCTCTGGCTTGAAGAGTCTCTCCTTTTACTTACCTCTGTGTTCATGTTGACCACACGGAACTTTGATCACGATTTTCCGTACTCACCCACGTATCACCTCATGAGATTCTCACTCCTCCGCCATAATATCTCGAGATGCTTTCACAGACCCTTACTACTACCGCCTTGCTCTACAAAGCTTCATCACTCTTCTCAGATACTTCCCTTGCCAAAGAGAGAAGCGCTAACTTTTTTTTTTTTTTTTCAGCATTTACCAACATCACCAGACCCTCACTTTTTTTCTCGTCTCGCGGCTGCTCCCCCGCCGCCTCAAGCAAGCTCTCGCCCTCCGGTCCTTCTCCTCCGGCCTCAACTCCCCGGCCGTCACCATGGTCGCCGCCTTCGCCGCCGCCGCCAGAGAGTTCCTCCGGCTCGCCCTTGGGGCACTCACTCGTCTGGGGCGCCTGGCCGCCCAACTTTGGGGCTTCATTGCCCAGAGGGCCGTGCCCCTCACCACCACCAACACCAACGCCGCCGCCGTCGCCGCTCCCGCTCCCGGTGCTCCTCGGCCCCCTCCTCCAGGCGCGCAGCCTAGCAAGCTGTGCCCTGGGAGGCGGGTCTGCGCCTCGCCGTTCTCGCGCCCTGGTCTTTGCGGGTCCCAACGGTCCCGGCCCCGGCCCCTGCTCTTCCCCCGGCTGCTCTGGCCGCCGCGCCTGCCCCTCCCCCTTCGCCTGTCTCGTCGCCGCCGCCTGCCCCGCTTGTCCTGTCGCCGCCTGCCTCGCCTGGTCGTTTTGCTCTCCGGGCTCTTGCGCCCCTGCCGCCGTCAGGCATCCGGGCGCCGCCCAACTCGCCGGTTCTGGATTCTCTGGGCCGTGACCCTCGCCGCGCCACCATTCCGGTGAAGTACTTCCGCCAGCTCCCAGAGGGGGGACGCTAAGCGTTGACTGGAAGCAGTGGGCACCACGCGGCGTCGTTGGTTGCTAGGAACAGGGATGGAAACGGAGGATCATCCCAGTGCTGCTGAGGATGGGGGTTGGGATATGGGTTTGCGGGAGGAGGGGGGGAAGGGGATGGGGGGGTGCATAGGGGCGTGGTGACAGGTAAATGGGAAAAGGGGATTGGGGCGGGGCTTTGGGTGGAGGATTGGTATATGTAGGAAGGGGAGGATAAGTATGGGGGAAGGGGAGGATGGGTACATGTAAGAAGTGGAGGATTTGGAGGGCATAGAGTCGGGGTGGGTTTGGGTTTTTGGTGGTTGGCAGACATGGAGGTGCATGGGGAGGGACTGGATGAATTGACCGTTCTTTTGGGGGCTCGGAACTCCAGCTGCTTGATGCAAGACGCAGCATGATATGTGATGTGACTGATGACACTAACCTCCCTGAACCGCCACAAATCGCCTTACTCTTCAACCTTCCACTCAACCAACTAGCCCCCTTCGACTTGTCCTTGTTCTTTCTTCTCCATGAACAAAGCAACGAAACTGAAAACGGTAGAAGAGTTGGCCATTTTGAATCGGTGGCAGATTGGCCCGGTGTGTTGATCGATCATCGGGCATATGGGCGTTGAACATGCTGTCGAAACCGGCAGCAAAGGCAAAGATATACCAGCCCACAATATCGGGCTCCTGGGCCCAGCAGTGGCGGAGCGAACCCCCGAAGGAAATAGCTCGAGTAGACCGGGGTGCGGCGCTGCGGCACTCGATATCGCAGACCGACAGAACGCCCACAGCATGACACTTGCGGTGCGGGCCATCGTCGAGCTCTTCCGTTTTGTAAAGCGCGAAGATGAGGTTAACCGGCAAATTCTCGCCTTCTTCGTCTCTCACGACCACCAATCTGTACGGATCTACGGCCATTACCCGCATCTCAAAGCCCATCGACGTGACCTGCCCATAAAGGAACTGGTAGTTGTGGATGATAGTGATCTCCATGGCAGGCGTAAATCCTGCTGATGCTTCCGTGCCGGTGTTCCTTCTTTCGATGACATAGCCGGCGAGGTTCTTTTATCAGGCACTGGTATCTGGGATGAGGAAAGAGAGTGGCTCTGGCATCTGCGGACTGAGCCTGTCTTCCATATCTACCCAAAACATGTCTCTGCCCCTTGTATCACGCGGGCTCTAATATGGCAGCACTTGGAAGCAAGCAGCAGCAGCAGCTCAGTGAGCTCAAATCACTCATCATACTGTATTTGACTACCTCTACGTCAGACCGTCGCCTTTGTCTCTCTGGCAGCGCGGATAGGTATGATAGACAACTCACATTACTACTTCCCACTGTGATCTCTCTACCTTCACTTTCAATATGGCAATCCCCATTTCTCTCCCCGTTGCCCGGGCCTAGTCACCTCTCCCCTTTCATAACGTAAATAGGCACTTGGATAATCTCCAGTCTCATAGGGAGTATACGACCTCCGCCTCAGGTTCTCGGACCTTCTTGGCATGACATACTCAATCTCCTGCTCCCCGTAATCATCCTCTCCTGGGCCACTTCCCAAGCCCATCTGGCCAGGCTTCTTAATTCGCCACTTCTCAGTACCGGATCCCAGAGAAGGAAGTTTGCCCTGGAAACCGGATCCTGGCAAAGACGACATGCCACTTCCACTGATCCTGGAAACCCAACGGAAGACTGCTCCAAGGTCGCCGGTGAAGAGAAAGCCGAGGAAGAGAACTGCTGCGGTGACAGGAATGGCAACGGCCCAGTAAGCCCATTGCCCAACTTCCATGTCGCGAATGTCACTGGTGTTCATGCCGAATATGCTCGAGACGGCCGACAGAGGCAGGAAAATGATAGTGACCACCGTGAAGGCATATATGAGACGCTCTTGGCGGTCCTTCTTAATGTCCACTTTGTTACGATTCTAGAAGAGAGCTTGTTAGTACTTGGACTGAGTACGTTACTTGAAACGACAAGGAAAGAAAACATACCATAACCCTCAGCTGTTTGGAGTGAAGCTCGTACTCCTCAAACTCCCGCTCGCGCTGGTCAAGTTGCAGGATACATTCGTTGAGGAACAGTTGACGGAAGCCACCTGGATCTCGTGCAGAGAGCTGCTTCGATTCCTCTGTCATCGAGCCGGGAACTTCTTCGACGTAGAAAGGTGGAGGCTCGTAGTACTGTCCTTGTTCCTGTTGCCCATAGCCGCGTGCCGACCTCAATCGTGGTTGTTCGTAATGATTATACTGCCTATAAATATTGCGCTCCGATTGAGCCCCTCTCGGTGCTCCTGAGTAGTATACCGGTTGTGGTGGGCCTTGTATGGGTGCCACCCGGGAACGGGCCGATGCTGGCATTTTGTAGGCAGACTGTTGGCTGTACCTTTCCAAACGCTCGAAGATGTCGCGTTGCGACTTGACAGTCTTCTGTACTACCAATAGTTCTTGGTCAAGCAGGTCGAGGCGCTGTTCGTGTGATCGATCGGACTGCTTGCCGGTGATGTCTGATTCCTGGTCATTGAAGTGGCTTGAGTTAGCTATTACTGCAAGCCAGTATGTCAACGGATGTTCTGCTTCCGGCACTTACAATGGCACTCAAATACGCAGAATACGTCTGGCTGATGTTCGGTAGACCAGGAGTAACGTCCGTGAGAAGCTTCATACTCATCAATGAGACTAGTTCCTGGGGAAGAACGACGGACTTCTCAAGAAGGGGCTTTTTAGCCATGTCTTTTACAATGGCGTTGAGACCTTGGCTGATAAGAGGTTTGGCATGAACATCCAGGAAGGTGGATGCTCTCTCCGGATCCGTTGACATGTACGATAGGCCCAAAAGGAGATGGAGCCAGCCATCAATTAGCTGGTCGGGCACGTGGATTTGAACACGATCCGCATGTTGCGCATGTAGAAACGTTTCTGTGAAGTAGAGTATCATGACGGCAAGCTCTTTGAGTACAGCTCGTAGTTGGTATCGATCGTCGGCCACGCCCTCGTCGTCATGCTGCTATAAATACCCATCAGCTTATCACTCGTTGAATGACAAGTTCAGACTTGGCTTAAGACACACCTTGACTTGATTTCTTACGGCACCCCAGAATTTGGACGCCATGGGGGTTTCGGTTGTGCCGGGAAAAAAGAACCTGAAAATCATGTCGGCCAAGTTGAATATGTCGGCCCGTATTTCGTAGTCCTGCGGGTTGGATGAGCGTATCCTCCTTTCGGGGTGGACTATCTCTTGCTGCTCATGTTCAAGCATATGATAAATGGAGAGGCGGTTGGCGCTTGGGCAGCGTTTATATGCACGTTGATCGCTGACACTTGTCTCGTGCAACAGGATTGTTTCTATCTCATGGAGGCGCTCGTCGAGTTTGGCTTCGTCAATCGTATCGTTTTTGGCCAGCGAAACGTCGTCGAGGCATGTAAAAAGTGCAAAAGAGGAACTCGGCGGTGACTCGGAGGCTTTCGGAGAATTGGCTGTTGTTGTCCTTGTAGTGGGGGTCCGTAGCTGTGTAGTCCTCCTTGCCTTCTCATCCCGGTTTTCTTGCTTGGAGCTAGTTGCCTCGCTGTCTTTGGGTTCGTCTGTTGCGGTCCCCTCGGTCTGCTCGGATTGGGGTTGGATTGGCACGAGTCGCCCTGGTGTCGGAAGCTTGGGCGTCGGCCTGTGATTGCTGAGTTAGTGGCAGTTCCAGTCTCTTTAGTGAGCATAGGGACTTGGTAGAGATACGCACCCAAGCTCAAGATCAAAGGAGATTCTATGCGAGTGTTTCTGACTTGCTGACGCCCAGATTTTCGGCCAGTCCTCTGGGCAGACCACACGCTTGTTACGGTAGAAGCAGAGGGGCAGATGCCAGAACTCCCAAAAATGGGAAACGAAGCTCTAAAAGCAATTCCAACAGTTAGCGAGAAAGGAAATATCATGGGATCTATCGTTGTCCAAGCACAAGACTTACAAACCATGTCTGACAATCCTTTACCGGCAAAGTCCACATAACATTACCACCGAATCTGACCCAAAACTTTTGCTGGGATTGCTCCTCGGAAAGACTACTCAGGGCTTTGACGGACTTTGTAATGGAGTTGCCGCATAGTACATCTTCGGACATTCTGCCGTACGTGATCACGAATGCTAGAGAATGCATGTCAACAAGAGCCGTATGACGAGCACAATACCCGCTGCGCAAAGTGGAGAGGAGGAGCCGTACAGTTGTTTATGATGATGCACCAAAGCTGCGAAATGTGAAAACAGAGGCCCGGGCCGGCCTTGGCAACTTGTCGTACTGCTTGTTGCATGTCGCGTTCTTTGGCAGTCCGAGAGAATTGAGCCTGCAGTAAGGTCTGGATCGGAAACGCTGATGAGTTTTCAGCACCAGAGAGGAGGCCAGAGTATGGCTCGAGGCTAAAATATGGCAGGCAAATCCAGGTCACGCTCCGGGTCGTACGAGTTTGCCCTCCAACACCGCTATCGTGAGGCAAAACGTAATCGAAACAGCCCGGTTCCATGTGCTGTACGGGCTTCCCGCTCGAGGTCTGAATCAACTTGACGGATGACTGTTTGAGACGGAAGAGGATATCGTTGACTGCCTTCCTTTCGATGCCTGTCAGGACGGAGAGGCGCGCGACCTGGTTCTGATCCTTTCTGTTAGCCGAAAGTTGCGCCACTTCTCGTTCAGGAAGCGCCTACCGAAAGGTCTTCCAGGGACATTAAAGGTCGGGTAAGATGCCTATCCGCAATGGTTAACCCAATTCGTTACATCTCAGGAAGCGGATACCTTACATCCAACGATATAGTGGCTGAAGGTGCCGTAGCTGGGCTGGGTTTGCGGCCATCAGCAAGCCTGCTGAGTGGTGACCTTCGGCAACTGTGTATCCTTCGCCAGTATAGAACGAGGCAAGAATGTGGGCTACTTCGGAATTCTGATCATCCCTTGGCGATGGTTGGCTCGGGGTCGCATCCAGATCCTCGCTCTGCTCCCCGTCTGCTGAACCTCCAATCGATGCCGCCCTTGCTGCCCGGAAGGACGCAGCGAAGGAGTAGGCAGACGACCCAGACTCTTCAGTTACTAGAGCTGGCGTAGCCCTGAATCTTGAAGACCCGTAGCTTCTGACAGTGGAGGCTCCTCGCGCAGACCTGTAAGCACCTTCGACGGTAGAGTTGGATCGTAACTCGTCGCTCCGATCCTCATCCGATTCGTCGTCGTCCGCGCCAGGGGACAAGGTCTCTGCAGGAGGAGCATGAGACTGTAGCGGTGGTGAGTACTCATCGATGTTATGGAGGACATCGTCGTCACTGTCCTGCTCGAACTTGACGGTCTTATGCCGACGCTTGTTTTTGAGCCTACTGGGAGAAGACGCAGGTGTCGGTGATGCTGAGCGTCCAACAATATGTCTTGCTCTCACAGGTTGTCGGGAAGGCCGAGAGAGCGAGTCTCCAGGTCCATAATATCCGCCTGGAGGTGTTGCCCCAGTGTCATAGGGAGCAACTAAGGGGACGGGTGGTGGTCCCTGCTGGCCTGGTTGAGTGTACTCATTGTAGGGCTCAAAATGGACGTGATGGGCTGCGCGCGTTGGTCCGGGAGGGACAGATGCTGGAGGATAGGCAACCGGAGGCTGAGGAATGGGATAGTACGGGACCGAATATGGCATCATATAAGGGTTGTATCCGGATGATGGGGGGTAGGTTGGCTGAGGTGGTTCCCGGGGCCACGACGGCGCCCGTTGTGGTTGGGATGAACCATCGAAGGTTTGATGTTGTTGATGCGGCTGCTCTGGAAAGGTGTGACTGCGGCGGGGAGGTAAGGTCAATGTCGGTGGATCTTCATCGCGAGGACCTGGAGCCGGTTGAGGTTGCGACATGTTGGTGCGGCAGCATGCAGAACAATGGCATTGTGCTGCAGCGAACCCTTTGAAGTGTGAAAGCCGAGTGTAGATGTCAAGTATCGAAGATCGGCCGGCGTTGAAAAGTCAGATTTGAGCTGAACCTTGAGATGAACCCGATGACATGAGCTGACAAGCCCATACCGTTGTCAAGTGGTTGAGGGCGCAGGCTGTGTTACCCGAAATCTTCGACTATCTCATGCAGGCTAGTGCTGCGCCAAGCAAACGATGCAGCTGATGCAGGATCCGCGATCCCAGCCAATGGGTCGTACTTCCTCCAAATGTTCAACCGGTTTGCTTCCCAACCACCCGGAAAACCCATGTTTGAACTGAGATGCTGAAGGTTCTGAGGTTCAACCATCAATTAGATGAAGTTTGACGTGTTGGTTGAAGAGTCGAGGTAGATTTTACCAGTGGAAAGCACCCAGCCGATGGTGCCCTGTTGGCGGCTTCGCGCGAGTGTTGCGCCAAGAAATAGGTTCATCAGGTTCACACAAGAAATGGGAAGATCCAAATCAACACTACCAGGACAATCACTCAACATTCATCCAAGACAGATTTTCGATCCTAAGAGGGCCTTTAACCTATCATCGGACTTCTGTGAAAGAGATCAATGATATTTATATGAAAACAAAGTCGAGGTGTAAGGTGCTTTCTTTTGAGTGTCTGCCATGGATGCGATGGCCATTTCAAATTTCTGTCCCCACTTTGCGACTGGCGTCCCCGCAACACCATGGCGAGCGCAACGACGGATCACCATCTGCTCAATGACCATATCGCATAGCCAAATAATATGCCGAACTCTGACACTGGCAAAACCTGACATTCATGTGTGTTTCCGTGCACTTCACTGCTTGTAGCCATGCTTGTGTCAGGTTCAAATGCGACAGCATCGTATCGCGTATCCCTCAGAGGAGAGACCTCGAGTGATGGAGAGGACGAGATAAGACAACAAACCGTCTGGATTATGAGCGCACTCCGGATAATTTGAGCCACACGCCGGAGTGGTTTCCTTGCGTGCAAGAGGACAATCGCAGGAGCATGATTGCCGAAACCGCTCTGTTCATTAAAGGTGTGGGAAGTCGCGACGAAGGCTCAAGTGGATAAGGGGTGACTTGGTGTAGGTCATGCAAGCAATGCAAGACGTGAATGCGATGAAGGATTATAAAAATTAAATGCAGTTTGTAGATTGGTAATTGGAGGTACTACCTGAAATGGGAAAACCAACGTTCAATGAGCATTACCGTGATGAGGTGAGTGTGGTTGATCGCAAGTCGCGACAATGGCCATTGTTCAACTCCACAGTGACGGGATGGCGGAGTTGCGATGGGGTTGAACACCAAAAGAAACCTCCAATCTGCAGCCAGTGCGGGAACAAAACAAGTGGAAAGAGCTTCTGGGAATGGCCGCGGTGGGGAGGAAACCACCATTCGGGAAGGCATTGGTCTCGGGAGACCCGCGAAGAGGGAAGGCGCCGACCGACGGGAAAGACCGACGAAGACGGCCAAGCAGTCAACACCACAAAGACAAGCAAGGAAGCCACGACCAAGCACCACCAGAAGCCTCATTGCACTCATAAGGCAAGGGACGGGACCACCGGCATGACTGAGTAAACCAAACCACCAAGCTTCCGACTCGAGTATGCCTCTCCTACCAGCCCACCAGCTTCACCTCCTACTCCTCCATCGTCGGCTCGTCATCTCAGCCAAATACCAGCTCGCCAAACCCTCATCTCCAACCAGCCTCACCAGCACCAGCACCAGCACCAGCTCCCGCCCAGTCCCATACCCAACCCTCGCCTCCTCTCCCACTCCCAACCCTCCTGCCTCCTCCTCCTCCTCCTCCTCCCCAACCCCTTGACTCACACTATATGTATTAGGTCTTTGTGTGCACAATACAACAACAAACCAGCTGCGCGGTTAGCTCAGTCGGTAGAGCGTTAGCCCGTTCACAAGTGATCGTACCGTGTGCCCTAGGACTCACTACCACAAGCATAGTAGGGGAGCGGCGCAAGGGGGGGTCACGAACGATAGGCTAGAGGTCACAGGTTCGAGTCCTGTACCGCGTACAACTTCTCTTTTTTTTTGCTGGTTTTTCTTTCTGGTCCACACCTTTTTGGTGGTTGCCGCAGCTGAGGGTTGGATGAGAGGCTGCTAGGGAGACTGGAAGGCTAGTTGGAAGATGCTTGGGACTATTTATCTTGCTGTGGAAGAGGACTGGCGTGTTATGACCTTTTTATTGCTGTTGGCTTCTGTGATTAAATCTTCTTGTGTTGCTTCGCGGCGGGAGACGGGAGGGCAACCAGGGATGCGTAGTTGCCTACAGAGCGGTCGGTGTGACTTGCTCGTAGGCAAAGGAAAGAATAAACACATCGTCAGCTCAGTCAGCATTGGGGCCAGGCATGCATGCTAGGTATGCAGATATTGAACCAAGGAAGCCTTTACATTCTTGCAATTGTGTCATCAACTTGAAACTCGTTATGCTAATATGCGCCAAACTGCCAACCCGTGTGACATCCCAAAACCTAACCATCCAACGGTTTCCTCCCATAAACAGTAGTCAAAGGAAAGTATGTATGAATACTGCCATCCATAACAGCCTTCCTCACATCAACCAGAAACGACTCGATCTGCGTCGGCGTCAGCCCTATAGCCCGAAACGGCCTGCTGCACAGTCCCGCCATGCCATCCATGGCCGCCGTTCGCCAGAACAGACCGCAAAGTCGGAGCTTCTTATCCGCCGGCCAGATCCCAAGAGGCAACTTCTTCGTAATCTCGGTAACATCCTCAAAGCCGGCCTCGCGCATCTCCTGAGAAGTCTTTTGGATGGCGCTTATGTCGGCGCCCATGGCACGGAGGCCGGCTTCTAGGTACTTGTGGTAGTCACGGACGGCATATGGAGTATCTGGTGTGAGGGTGTGATCGTCGCATCCTGGATTGCTGAGATCGATCTCTTGGATTTCGAAGTAGCCGCCTGGTTTGAGGTGTCTGAGGTCGAGTTAGTTAGATGATGACCACGAGAGAGAGAGATAGAGGAAGAGAGAGAATGAGCGAGACTTGCCGCATCACACGTTGCATAAGCGACTTCCTATCTTTGAGGGTGTGTAGTGCAAAGCGCAGATGGATGTAATCGTACTTGTTCTCGGGGTCCACCCACTCGTCTTCGATGTCGTCGACGTAGAAGCGCACGTTTTCTGGAACAAATCTGGGCTGGATGGGTGATAGGTCAATGCCTGTGATGACTGCGTCCGGGTAGTTTTCAGCCACTGTCGGTTTGGTGTTAGCAAGCAGATCTTGAGTGGCTGGGTAAACCACCAATTACTTACATTGCATGGGCCATAGCCCGGTACCAGTGCCCAAGTCAAGGACCTGTCCACCATCTTCCAATGCCTCCTCGACGGGAGCAAAGAAGAATTGGCCGTCACAGAGCATGGCTGACATCCTATGCTTGATTTCCTCGCGGCATTGCTCGGTCTCATCGTTGGGGTAGGCGTATTTACCCGCATGGTATGCATGATATCTGAAGCCACACTCGTACACATGGCCACGGATCGAGTCGATGATGGAGCTCGAACAATCCCGCTCATCGGAGTCATCAAACTCAAATAGACAATCGTCATATCCAAAGTCTTCGGGAGTGTTTTCAGACGGATCTTCCGGGAATGAGGGTCCGGTCTGTGCTTCGGAGCTCCCCTATCCAGCGGCTGCCCAAAAGTCGTCTTCTGGTGTTGACCTTGGAATGATGTGCTGCGAAGCCGCCGGCGCAGAGCAAGAGTAGGGATGTGCTGAAGAGTTCTGCTTCCTGGAGTCCATGATTGCGAGAAGTAATGAGGAAGTGTGGGGAAAGCTTGGTGGTTGAATGATGAGGAGGAAGGGGTCATTGGCGTCAATGGACGAGAGGGGACCCGTATGATATAGACGTGTTGATCAGCCACGTAGATGCAAAGTTGAAAACCCCAACCCAACGATAAGGACAGAAGATCGCAATGATGAATTTGGTGACTACCCTGTAGTTGCATGGCTTCTTGATTGGGCAATCTTCACTAGTGTCTACTCCATACCAGCCACGGGGTCGGAAGCCAGGGGCAAGCGACTGCAGGTACAGTGCAACACTATGAACACGAAGCTGGCTACGACACCGGAATAGGTATCCCGTAGCTTTTGAGTTTCGAGAGGTTACACCGGGTAACTGGGCCGGAAGACGATGTCTTGGGCCCCGGGAAGATGGAACCGTTACGGAATGGCACATCAGCAAATTCCATGTGACGGGCACTTGCCTTCTTCCACATGTTTCAATTGCTTCTTTTTTCTGAGAGGAAGTGAAGGCCGAACAAACTGGTTGGAGAGCAAGGGGACCCCGCAACAAAGCACGATACTGTATCAGCAGTCAAGTCCTCTTGAGGTTGCGAATTGGTTTGGTCCATCTTCAACATCGCAAACTGTGTTTGCGGTGCCTGTGACCAGATGTGGCTGTTAATGGGTCTCTTGAGGTTCTTTTCGAAGGAGTCGCTTCACTCATGATTTGGGATTGGGAAGGAGATTTCCGGTGGCCGGAAGTGTTTAATGAGCAAGCCTATTCAAGCAATTGGGTTGGATTTCGAGGAGGTTAGACAGATTGGACAAAGATGTTGTTATGATGGCCATGGCGCTGCTTCTGGGAACAGATGGCATGTTGGTCAGCATGGAGGACGAGGTGATCCCAATGGACTAGACTGAGTGTGGTGAGACAGATAACGGCCGAAATGGTCCCGCAAGAGAGCAACATCGACGGCCAGAAGAGGAAGGTGTGTTTGGTTGTTGATAAGATTTGGAATTGGATTGGGAAAGTCTCCGCTCCTGTCACTCCGGGGCACCCGTCTGCGGCCGTACCTAGCACCTTCAGTTCCCGACAGCGTGGGTCGCTGGGACCAGGTGGTCCAGGCAGCTTTGTGGGTGGATTGATCCCCTGGAGCTGTGGGTTTCAGTGGAGCTTTTACCGAACGAACGCTGGAGCTCGATGTCAGGCACCTGTGTCAGAGGCCAGGGGATCCACTGGGCGTGCACGTGCCCAGTTGGGCTGGGATATGCGGGATTTATCTAGATGCCAGAATTTCGAGTCTGCAGAGCCAGTCTTACATACAGACATATATACAATCAAGCCACGTTGAACTTATATCGATTATTACTTATAATATTACAATTAAAAGTCTTATTAATTCAACCATTGAAGCTATCACTAGCAACGATAACTGACAAAACGACTGCCAATAATACTTACGATTAAGATTGATAGCGTTACTCTTAATAGCCCTAAGGATTGGCCAGTTTGGGAAGATGCCTTTATTTTTATAGCCTAGGACCTTAGTTTCTAGAAGTATATCAATCATAATAACTATATGCCTTGGCTAATTGAGCTTATAAAGCCTAATATCACTAACTATTAAGGAGAAGTTCCCGTTAGAGAAATTAAGAAAGCTAAGAAGGATAGGTAGGCTGCCCTATTTATTGCCGCTAAATTTTATAGCTGTTATTATAAGTACGACTATTATAATTATATAATTAAGAAGTTGGATTAGCGTATAGAGGTTAAGACTTTCTCTAATTTAAGTATTAAAAAAACTACGCTAAATCGCTAAATATTTAAAACCGTTAGAGATAATTATTAGGAGATTAATTTTATTGAATATATTAGTTTATACGAGTAGTATAATTGTGACGGCTGGCACCACCAGTCGTCATGGATTCTATTCACGGGTGGCTTCCATTCACGGGTTTAGTTCAGATGGTTCAGGTTCTGGGCTTGGCCTGGCTCCCTCCCAGAGTTCAGGGTATAAAACCCAGTCCTTCTCATCTAGCCTTCCCTTTTGGAGTTTCCTTCTTTCCTCAACTTCTTGTCTTTAGTCCAAGTTAGCCATTAGGGTAGTACAGTCCTTGCACCCGTACCCATCCCTGGCTACACGTGACAATAATAATTTTAGTAAATTTACCGCTTTTAACGATTATAAAGTAAAGAAATTCGCCCGGGCTAAATTTATTAATATTTTTAAATCCCTTAAATAGAACTAATTATAATTAATATAATTAGACTTTTTATTAAGAAGCGGCTATAGCCTTCTATATTATTAAAGGAATTATTAGAGTAAATAAATTAAATTTATAGTTCCTAAAATTCTATATAATTATATAATCGAATTTTTATACCGCCTGGGCAAATAATTATTAGTTTTAGTATAATAAGGAGATCGAGAGAAACTTTAATTTCAAAATTTCTTTCCGTACCATAGTTAAGGACTTTCGTAAAGTAGTAATAGCGAATATTATTTAAGGAAAAGGTCGCGCTCCTTTATTTACAGGTATTATATTTACAGTTATATTAAGTAATAAGCCCGTTAAGGAGGACGCTCCTAACGATGAATAAAATTTTAGCCTAGAGGTAGAGGGATGGGGAAAGGTTATAAGTAAAAATAATAAATTTAGGAAGAATACTAATAAGAATAAATATACTTTATCTTCGTTCTTATTGGCGAATAAATAATTACAATAATATTTATATAAATTCTATAAGTAGCCGGACTATAATTTAGATAAATATTATTACGCTAAATTATAGTTAGCCTATAAAAGCTAAGTTAAAAGTCTTATTATTAAAAAGCGTATACTTACTAATTTAAAAAAAGATAAGATATTTATAGAAGTTATTAACTATTTACAAATCTAGTAGGATAATAATTAATTCTATAGATGCCGGGTAGGTAAGAGTAGTTTTTTAATACCTATAAAGAAATGCGGCGCTATATACCTATTAAGAAATTTTATAATTTTTAATTTAAATATAACAATATATATCTTTAATAAAGTTAATCGGTTTAAAAACTTTACTCTATTAAATATTAAGAATGATATATAGGTTGGAAATAAGTAGATTCCTATCGAAAGGTATAATATTATTATAATTATAATTTAGGACGATATTGGAAATAGAGAGCTCTAACTCCCTAACGTCGCTTTAATACCAAGTATAATTTATAACTTTATTTCTTTAAAATATTTTGAGGATAAATAAATCTATTAAAACTATAAGAATAGCTACTTATACTCCCGCCTTATGGATTCTCTTATTTATTATATTCCTTTTAAATATAAATAATTTATTTTAGAAAATATCCTTTTATAAAATAATATTAATAAATCTTCTTTTATTATATAGTATATAAACTATATTAAATAGAAACCCTAAAAGGGTAAGCTCCTTCGCTAGTATCTTCGATTTAGCTACCCAGGACCCGAAACTTTAATTAAATTAACGGAATAAAAGTATAGCGTACGATTTAAGGGACCAGATATAATATACTACGAACAATATATCAAAGCTAAATTGAAGTGCCAAGTATGTAAAGAAATTTATAATTACCTAGAAGGCCCTAAGTTATAATTAATTATTAATTTTATCTTTTATAAAGAAGTAAAAGTAAGGTGTTAGAAATATTTAAATTTAATAGTAATCGTAGACTAGTAATTTAAATTCATTTAAGTATATTATTTAGGTAATAGAGAAGCCAAATTTATTATTGCGTATTTAGAATCCCTTTATATAAAATTATATATTTAATATTAAATTATATTTCGGGTAATCGAATATAATAATAAAATAATTAATAATAAGAAGATTATTACCTAGTTTGCTACTAAGGGAATTAGTATCGAACCCTTAGCACTTTATACGTAAATTCAAAACGGCGGCGTAGAGCGCTTAAGGGGTATAATTAAAACTAAAAGTATAGTAATATAATTAAATATAAATCTTCCTTACGAATTATTAATAGAGATTATTAGAATAGCTATATATTTATATAACCTAACCCCTAAAGTGGAATATTATTAAAAATCTCCCCAAGACCGATTCGAAACGTACTATTAATTTAGAAATAGTATTATTCCTCTATTAAACCCCTCCTCTATTATCATACACTTTAAAGTATATAGCTACAAAAGTTTTGCTTTTATAATAGAAATTATAAAAGAATAAAATAAATTAATAAAGTTTAAAGACTACGCCTAAATCAGCTATTTAATTAAATACTAATTAACGAATATGTATAGGATTTAGAATCCTTATATTAACTCTATTATTATTATACGAAACGTTGTATTTAATAAAAATAAAGTCTTTCTTAATAGTAATATTAAAGAAATCTATAATACCTTTAATATCTCCTTTAAAGAATTAATTATACAATTAAAAGAATTTTATTAAATAAATATTATGTAAGTAGACATCGTATAGGTTAAAGTTATACCCGCTGCAAATAACGGAATTCTTAGCCCCGTTATCCAAAATTGTCTTACTGAAACCGAGAATATACTAGGAGAAGAGGAGGAATTAAGGTCTTTAGAAATATAAATACAATCTAAATCTCTAGAAGTCCTATAAGTATTAAAAATATAACTGTAGGGTTTAGAGCCTTTATTATCGCCGCTCTCATAATTACTATTAGATTTCTAAAATACAATCTTAAATTCGAAAAATAAGGAAGAGGGCTATTTCCCTACCCTTCTTAATAGCCTAACCGCGTTTCTAGTAACTAACCTCTTTCGTTCGAATAAAGAATTATAACTAACTATAGATTAATACTTTCATTAAGCTATATTATTCTTATTTACAAAGGGCAATCAATTTGTAAATTTCTAAAGAAATAAGGTCGTAGACTACACCTTCCTAAAGTAAATAAGAAAAAGGAGTATTAATATTAATCCCGGCTGTAATCCTAAATTAAAAATAATAAAGGAAATTATTAACCGCTATAGAATAAAGGGTACGTTAAGGACTTTTTATTAAACTAACTTTCTACCCCTTCTAAAGTACTATAGTAATTTTAATTCTTATTCCTTTAAAGAATTTTTTAAGGATATAGAAAAGGAATACTTAGACGAGTATAAAGATAAGAAGTTTTAAAAGTAGGTTAATATTAAGGAAGTAATAGATAACGAAATATTCAGTTCGATATAGGTATATATTTATAAATTCGATTAAAACGGCCGGTTTCTCAAATTTAAAATATATTTAATTATATATAGGGATTAGTAATCTAAGGATAATATATATAAAACGTACACAGCGACTCTAACTATTAAATCGTTCCGTATCCTAATAGCTATAATTACTTATTTCAACTTCAATTTCATTTAATATAATATAAAGAACGCCTTTATTAATATTATATTTAATAAGGCAGTTTTTATAAAGGCTCCCCCTAAGTACATTAGTAAAGGTTAAATATTCTAATTACTATGTATATTATATAATCTATAGAAATCTCCCCTCTTCTAGTAGTAGGAATTTATTAAGACCTTCGTAACTATAAATATAAACCCTTTCCTTATAGAATTTAGCATTCTAATTAAAAATAATATATTTTTCTTCTTCTATATTAATAATATTATTATTATTTATAAATATAGAAATAAAGAGATTGTTATAATTAAAGGGGTAATAGCCGCTATAGAAAGGAAATATTAATTAACGGGTAGAAAGTTATTAAAATAGTTCTTAAATATCGAAATTATTTGAGATTGAAAAAAGAAATTAATTTAATTATTATAACGTAACTATATTTAAAAGATTGTCAAAAAGGTTAAGCGTATAAAGAAATTATATTTTATATTTATAGCTAGGGAGGAATTCCCATTTTACTAAATAACGTAACCCTATACGAAATTTACGCATATTAGGTTAAAATCGGTTCGATTTTCTATATCGCTATTATATCGCAATTAAATATAGCTTTCTTAATTTCTAAATTCGCTCAATTGAATTTAAACTCCAATTTAACGTATTATGTAACTATAAATAGAATACTCTTCTATTTTCTAATAATTTAAAACTATATTTTTTAACTAAATAATAAAGACCGCTAGGATTTCTATATTATAATTAACTCCTTATTTATAAATAACTTTCTTAATTAAAAGAGTTTATAAGTATTCGTATTTAAATTATTAAGCGCTAATATCCATTAATATACTAATAAATAAAATATAATTACGACCTTATCTATAGAAGTTAAATTACTATCTTTTAATTAAAGAGTTAAGGAAATAATTTACGCTCGCTATCTCTTTAACGAATTTATCCTAAGATTTAAAAATTAAGAGGCTATACCTATAAGTTATAATAATAAATAAATAATTTAATTTATTATAAAGAAGGGAATTCAATTCATTATTAAATTTAAATACATTAATATATATAAATATTAATTAAAGTAAGCGTAAGAGAGGAAACTAATAAACATAGTCTACGTACTTACTAAGGAATAAATTGCAAATAGCCTTATAAAGAGCCTTCTTCCTACAATATATTTAAAATCGATAAAATAATTAGGATTCGTAGAATTATGGCGGCTATAAATTTAATTATAAGAGTTTAGCAATAAAAATATCGCTACAGGCCGCCCAAAAGGTATAGAGAACTCTATAAAAGAGGACTCGGGTAATGAATTGGCAAATATAATAGCAAATATAATAAAGCAAGATTCTTACAAATAAAAGCTTAAAAGCTACCGTAATGAAGAAGTAATCTAAGAATAGCATTATTTCTAGCTAGTTTTGGAAGGATTTTAGGGCATTTTAAGGCATATCTGGGTAGATCTAGCGTAATTTATACACTAGATTTAAAGGGGTGTATTAAAAGCTAGGGGATCTACTGGGCGTGCACGTACCCAGTTGGGCTAGGATATGCGAGATTTATCCAGATGCCAGAACTTCGAATCTGCAGAGCCAGTCTTACACACACTATAGCGCGCCACTAGGGTTTTAGAAACCAATCCTCGGAATGTTCTTGTAACTGTAAAATATATTTTGAGATGATTTTAGCATGGAACTAATCCATAGATCAGTTTAAAACGGCAAGACCATCTCTAGGATGGACCTAAATCCCTTTCTTAGACCAAAATATCTTATTTAGGTAAAATGGCTTCCTCTAAAAATGATCTTCAAAGGAATCCTATAAATAAAATATTTCTATCAGGGATAAATTTAAGAAAAGAACTATTATTGAAGTCATTTTATTAAATAAGAATATTCCTAAACGTTAATATTTCAAATAAGAATTGATCTATAGATTAGTTTTAAAACAAAATCATACACTGGGCTGTAGAATTTTACAGTTACAAGAACATGCCGAGGATCGTTTTCTAAACCCCTGGTGGCGCGCTATGGCAGACATACACACAATCAAGCCACGTTGAACCCATATCGATTATTACCCATAATATCACAGCACCCCCCCAGGCACCCCGGCCGACCTTTCCTCTTTTTCCTCTTTTCATCTTCGCCCCGGGTCCGGGGCCTCCCATCACATTCCGGTTGCCCCGGTCCCGACTCCGAACCATCAGTTCGTTTCTTGGCACCGAAATGATCAGTCATTTCCAGATCTCGCTCAACAGTTCGTCCTTTCAACACGGTCAACCCTGCAATGCGCTTCGCTATCTTTAGCTGGGGGGCGCCTGACGAACCCCTAAGCGAGCCAACAACATGATCTTTGAAGGCGGCAATCCACAGGAATCTCAATGTCGACATGACTTGTTCGTACCGACAAAGATCGACAGGAAGGAGCGGACCGGGTGGAGTGTGGGCGACGGGAAGGCCCAAAGGCCCCATCGTTCGGTGGAGATAATCGCTACGGGATGAACTCCGTGGGGTTGATAGGCGCGTCATAGGGGTCGGTGTTCAGCTAGGTACGTCAGCTGTCTCAGGACAAGGACAAGTTTCTCTTCAGCTTGGAAGAGTGGTACGAAACTGATGACTTGCAGCACAAACACCGTTGATAAGGCTTTCCCTGGTTCCAACAACAACAATCCTTCAATATCCGCAATTCATAGCCCAAGAGATCATCAAACAATGGACGAGCGCGCCAAGATCCGAGTCACTCTTCCTCGAGAAAACCCAACTTCAAGCTACTGGCAAGATCCTCCCGATGACATCGCTGACGAGCGTACCACCAAGGACCCCCCAAACAAAGCCGACATCGTCATCATCGGAAGTGGCATCACCGGTGCTGCGATAGCATGGAACCTCCTAAAAGACGTCAACCCTGGAGAAAAGGGGTCCAGAAACATAGTCATGCTTGAAGCCCGCCAGGCCTGCTCCGGTGCAACCGGTCGCAACGGTGGACACACCAAAGCTGCCTCCTACCGCTCCTTTCTCGAGCACGCCTCTCTCCTCGGCACTCCAGCCGCCGTCCAAATCGCTCGTCTCGAGTACAACAACATCCAAGCCGTCCATGCCTTTGCCAAAGAGCATGACATCCCCTGCGACTCCAACCCTTGCCACACCATCGACATTATCTACGACCAAGCCCAATGGGCCGCCGCCCATGAAGCCGTCGCCGCCATGAAGGCCGCTTTCCCCGAAGGAGATCCGGTAGCAGAGTACACCTTCCACTCGCCCGCCGAAGTCCAGTCCAAATTCCACTGCGCCCTGGATGCCGGCACCGTAGCCGGCGAACAACAAACCTTGTATGGAGGCGTCTCCTACCCAGCCGGCAGCATCTCCTCCTACGCCTTCACCACAGGCCTCCTCAAACTCTGCCTATCCCGCGGCCTAAATCTGCAAACCAACACGCCCGCCACCTCCCTGATGAAAAACCGCGACGAACGCACCTGGACCGTACAAACCCCTCGCGGAAACATCTGGACCAAGGACATCATCCTGGCCACGAACGGGTACACGGCCGCTATTGCGCCCACGTTTCAGGGTGCCATCGTCCCCCTGCGTGGACAGGTCACGGCGCAAAGGCCCGGGAGCAAACTACCCGAGAAGGGATGTCTGCCGACTACATACAGCTTTATCTACGATAAGGGGTATGAGTACATGATCCCGAGACCAAAGGGGAGCCGAAACGAGGGGGACTTGGTCATTGGTGGTGGATTGGTGAGGGCGAAGGAGGAAGGGTTGGAGGAGTACGGGACTACGGATGATACGACCGTTAACCAAGACATCAGTGATTACCTCAAGGACAGTCTGACGAGGTACCTCGGTGTTGGTGAGAAGGGAAATTGGGGAGAAGATCACCCGGATGGAAGAGTAAGAAAGGAGTGGACGGGGATCATGGGGTATACACCCGATGGGTTTCCCATGGTTGGACCGGTGCCAGGGGAGACGGGTTTTTGGATGAGTTGTAGTTTCCAGGGCCATGGGATGGTGTTGTGCTGGATGTGCGCAAAGGCGTTGGTAGAGATGATGGAGGGGAGGGATAATGAGGAGTTGAAGGGGTGGTTTCCGGAGGCGTTCAGGGTCGGGTTTGAGAGAATGAGGAAGAGGTTCCAGGGAAGGTTGCATACGAGCGTTGCGGTGCCGCCGGGACCGCCTGTGGGGGGAGAGTCTGGGTAACCGACGTGAGATGGAGTGACGACCCATGAAGTCTTGGGTTATGGGATTATGAATGGGGGGATTACTGTCAAGCTGTGCACAATTGATACCCTTTGATGCCTCTTGCTAGTGTCTAATCACTTACACGTGGGCGTAGGAACCAGCTACTCGTGGTCCACCGGGTAAACCTGTGAGAAATTGCTTGTGCCTGGTTTCATGGTGTGCCTTCTTGGTTGAGGTTGCGAAAAAACGTCACTTACCCTGCACTTTCTCGTCGCCAACCCCTAACGGCGCCAAGTGAAAAGTATCCCAAACGTTCGACGGCAGTTCGATACACTAATACCATGCAGGAGCAGAAGTCTCTGAAAAATATTGTAATTTGAAGGCAGTGACATGTTGATGAAGTTCTCAAATAAAAACGACTACGTCTGGTATAGTCTTCCCACTCCCTGGAACTGATCGATGCCTCCTTCATCTCATCCGTATGCTTCTTCTCACCACAAGTCCACGAGCAGTCATGTCCCCTTTTCCTGCTCATAACCAAAGTAACCCTCGAACATTCGTCTTCCCTTCTCCCCCTTTCCCCTTCCAACTCCCTTTACAGCAAATGCGAAACCCCCTCCTCCCCCCCCGCCATCCCCTTCCAATGCACCTTCACCCCACCCCAACTATGCTCATTATAATCCTCCTGCACCTTCTGACAAGTCTTGAGTCCCCAATCCGTCACACCAACCATCAAACAACTCTCAAACATAAACGCACAACTTCCCTCCCCAACCTTCTGTGGTTTTAGCTCGGCGTTCCTCGCCCCCTCATAACTCGCCGCATCCGGTCCATGGCCACTCATAACATTATGTAAACTCGCCCCGCCCGGAACGAACCCCCCCTTGCCGCCCTTCTTGGCATCGTATGCACCCGTTATCAAGCCCATGAACTCGCTCATGGTGTTGCGGTGGTACCAAGGCGGGCGGAAGGTATCTTCGCCGACAAGCCAGCGGGGAGGGAAGATGACGAAGTCGGCGATGGCGGTTCCGGCATGGTCGGAGGGGGCGGAGAGGACGGTGAAGATGGATGGGTCCGGGTGGTCGAAACTGATAGAGCCGATGGTGTTGAAGCGACCGAGGTCGTATTTGTAGGGGTAGTAATTACCGTGCCAGGCCACGACGTCGAAGGGGGTGTGTGGCTGTTTGGTCTCAAAAAGGGTGTTGTTGAACTTGGCGGTTATGGTGTAAGAGTTCGGTCCGTCGAGCGCGATAGATCCGTGGTCTTCGCTGAAGCAGGCCACGGGAGCTTGGAAGTCGCGCGCGTTGGCGAGGCCGTTGCTGCCGATGGGACCGAGCTCGGGGAGCTGGAAGTGGCCCTGGTAGAGTTCGAGTGCGTAGCCGCGGACGGGGCCGGAGGGGAGGAGGACTTGGTAGCGCACGCCGCGCGGGATGACGGCGATTTCCATCGGTCGGACCAATAGCCAGCCGAACTCGGTGCGGATGTCTAGCACGCCGTCCTGCGCCACGATGAGAAGGTCGCCGTCGGCTGAGTAGAAGGCTGATTGGGCGGACATGGACTTGCCGGCGGCGTAGACGTACATGCCCAGACCTTGCTTGAGGGTGGGGTCGCCGGCGCCGGCGACGAGACGGAGGCCTGAGACGAAGTCGGTGTCGGATTCGTGGTCGAAGGGGTCCCAGCGGAGTTGGTTGGGGATGTAGTGCAGCTTGGCTGGCGATTGCTCGAGAACGGGCTCCTGACCCTTAGATGGGGTGGCCTCGACGAAGGGAGGGTGGGAGCATGAGGGGAGGATCCGGTAGAGCCATGATTGCTTGTTTTCGTGGCGTGGAGCTGTGAAGGCGGTTCCGGAGAGCTTTTCGGCGTAGAGGCCGAGGGGAGGCTTCTGAGGGGAGTTGTGGCCGATGGGAAGAGCGCCGGAGACGGCTTCGGATCTGGGGGGTTGAGTGAGTAGAGCGTAGGAGTTGATAGTGGAGGAGGGAGTGACACTTACTCTAGGTAGGAAGCGAAGCCGTTCTGATAGCGGTACTTCTCCTTGAAGTCAAAGTTGGTGACAGGCATTGTCGCGGTTCGCTATAATTCAGCTTGAGTGTCGGTTTCTTTGGGGGTATCAATGGTTGTAGAAACTGAACGTCGTTGTAACTTGAAGATGTGTACTTCCAAAGAGGGAAGATCAAGTCAAGGACAGAGCAGAAGAAGGGGAGTTTAGAAAGAAAGTTATCTCTCCGAAAGGCAAACAAAGTCCAGAAAACCCATCCATCTTTTCGGTTCCCGAGGTAGCACTGCTACTTCTAGTCTTCGTCATTGTCCCGGTCCTGCTTGTGCCTCGATGCATCGTTCTCGAAGTTCCCAAATTCCGCCCGTCCAAGACCGCGATGCGGGACCGCCAGTAGCCGAAGATATGCGGTCTCCAATTGCGCGGTCCGGGCGAGATCGTAAACCCGGGGAAGACCTTCTCCACGTGATTCAGCTGGGGGTCCCCACTGGTTTCCCGAGCTCCACCACAGATTCTCCATTGGCCCCGCTTCCCCAGAAGTAAGCAAGGTCAGAGCTTCGGCATTTTGCAGACTCGCGTTTGTTCTTTTTCTCGGATTTCCATCTTGGACTCTTTTCCCTCTTTCTCTTCCAACGACGAATCTGAAGGGAAACTTTGCGGCGGAGCCTACGACAAACTCGACTCACAACTCGGAATAATACGGCGATGACCTAGACATTTGAGGCACCTCGAGATTCGAATTGCGATGGGCTAAATGACGGTCGGACCGTCGGACGCCCGATGAGAGGGAGCATGAGGCTTTATTGAAGGGAACATCAAGCTCAAGCTCATCCGACAGACTCGCGAAAACCAGAATCAGATCTTGCAGAAACGCACTCTGTCAGTTGTGTACGGCGGCAGTCAGAGGCCATGTGCGTGGTTGCCGGAGACCTTCAACTCTGCCTCCCTGCATCATGAATTCAGGTTTCCGTGAGTCAATACGGCAATTCCTCATCTCTCTTATTCCGAAACTCCGAACCTCACTACAGGTCCCTTTCACAGGAGACATGGCCCGTTTGGCGTGGTTTATCCACTCATCACATTCTGCAAAGGGGGCCCGTCAGATTGAGAGATCTGGTGTTGATCAGTGGGAACAGCAAGGTATAAGATCAGGTATTGTTGGCATGAGACTTTGGGGCATCTTGTACTTTAACCTCAACAGGTGGCAGGCTTCGAAGCAGACGGACATAAATGCGAGACACAGTGGCATTCAAGTTGCTCATCACGATGACACATAAGCAGCCTGCTCAAGTTTACCATGGCTGAAAGTGATGTTCATTATCAATAGCATGACGGACACTGTTGTCCCGTGTCCGCTGCCCTTGTTTGCGTTTGACCCAGCCAGCTGTTTCCTCAAGACCAGAACGACACCGAAAGCCAAAGACGCTGGCGACATGGGGGATCAACCCCAGCCTGCCATCAGGGAATCATTAATGATACATATTATGGTCCCGTCATTATCACCATCACCGATGAACCAATGACAAGGATAGCAGATGCAGACCAAGCTGGTCTGGACGAGACTGGGAACGGCTTAAGCAGCCTCTTCCTCGGCGGCAGCAGCCTTCTTCTTCTTCTTGGAGGAGCCGCCCGCGGGTTTGGTGCCAGCGTTCGTCGACAAGTGTACCAAGAGTGATGTCCACGACTCCTCCTTGTCCCACTCGAAGCCCTTGAGGTATGGTTCGGGTAGCTCGTCATCCGGCTATGAAGCACATCAAAGAGTCAGTCAAAGGAAACTCCCTTGCTAACACACGGGTCAACAGGTGGTGGTGGTTAAGAAAGTCTTACCCTCTTCTTGAACGACTTGTGGATGGCATCCATGGCGTCCTTGATGGTTACCCCCTTGAGATTCCGTGCTGTTACGTGCAACCCCGTCTTAAAGTAGAGGTCAATCTTCTTGACTGGCGGTGTTGTGAGCATCATCTTGAGGTAGTCCTTGTCGTCTATCGACGTAGGCGAGGTGTTGACCTTCCTGTCATTGGACAACAAGTGTGAGCCATATGTCTCGAGTGTATCGAGGTGTCAAGTCACGGCATAGCCTGTGGGACTGGGTGCATGGCAGGACTTACCACCCCAACATCTGCGTCTCCTTGGCAATCTGGAGGTCAATTCCTTGAGCCTCCAGGTCGTTGACGTTCATGACCCCATTGGCAGTCGAGCTTGCTCGTCGGTGCTTGTGGATGTGGCTCTCCTTTGGGGGTGATGTGGCTTCGAGGCCTTGGACGGCGGAGTCGACCTTGGTGAGTGGTTCGCCCGACATGGTGGTGATGGATTGGTTGGATCTGGCTACAGATGACTACTGGTGTTCAGGTCGTGTGACAGCTGTATAAAGATATAACAGCTGAATGGTGATGAGGATTGATGATGAATAGGATTGGATCTCACGATGATGGATGCAGATTTGGGAGAGGTGTCTGTTGTACAAGGAGAAGAGAAGAGGAGAAGGAAGAGTATTTGAATCGAGACGGGAGCTATGAGGTAGATAAAGGGGAGCGGGACACGAGCACGGCAACGGGAGGGGAAGTTCCAATAATGCGGGAGATGATCCAAGGACTGCCCTTCTTGAGGCAGTTGTGGAAGGCGAGCTGGTTCGGTTACAAGAGGGCAGAGGGCAGGCAAGCAAGCAAGCAAGCTGCGGGTACATCTCAGGATAGCCATCACGGGTGGGATATGAGTGGTGGTTACACTTGTGGAGGCCGTATAAGTGATAGGACTGGATGTACCGATCGGTCCGTCGGTCTTCGTCATGAGGGGGTTTGCACGATCAAGCAAGAGGAGCTGAGCGAGTCGAGATTGGAGGGTTCGATATTGGCTGTTTCCGCTGCATTCGTTCCTGCCTCGCCGGGCGGGGTAGAAGATCACCTGGTAGTGGTGGTGCAGGTGGTGGTGCAGAGCAGTGCGGTACGGTCTCTGGAGATGGCCGCTTTTGGACGATCGTGTGATGAATACATTATCATGACATGATGGCATAGGGTGATCTGCTAGGACCCGGAGGTACCGGGTCCTTCCCGACCACTTACACCTCCAATAGCTCTCTCCAAAAACCTCCAATAGACCTCCAATCAAGGGCGCGTTAGGGTGTCGCCAAGCAATCCGGGGAAGTGTCTTGGCCAGCTCGACACTTGGACGAAAGCGAACAAGGTCGGCCCACCTCACTGCGATGGTGCCACTACCCAAACCACCACGGTGCTATTCCGGGCGGATTAGCGTCAACCTTATGATGAGTGCCGGTGCCGATGAGTTCAATGAGATGACAGACGACCTGACCTCGAGCACATAAAGGATGACCGACACCCGTGATGATCAAGGGGAGTTTCGGAAGCAAAACTGAACAGTTTGAAAATATCCACCGTCATTCAGACTCGAGACAAAAGGATACCTACGTACGACCTCAATGCTCAATCACCCCATTCGATCCGTAACAGCCGTGTCTGTCGTCGTCTACCGTCCCGAGCGGGGCTCCTTCCAGGGGCGGGGCCTGTGGTCTCTCCACCTGACAGGCCAGCCAGGGGCGTCATGGCCCCATCTCCTCATGGCACCCCGGGCCATCCGCTTCGATTGAAACCGTTCGTTCGATATCGATGGATGCGACTTCCTCATCTTGAGTCCAGAGCAGCACTCAGCAGCCGTCAAGGTGCTTTTCAATCTTTGTTCGAAACACTTGGACGTTGCGAGGGATGAACAGTTGGAGAAAGGTACACTCGTCGAGTAAGTGGTGATCGTGTTCTTCAAGGTGTCATGACAGGACTGGAACTGATCGCTTCGATTTACAATGCAGTTCAGCACTCCAACTTGCCGAACCATTCCGTCTCTCATCCCGAATCCTCAATGAAGAAGAGGCCGGATAAAAGCTCCAACCAAGGACTGGTTTCAGTAACAATGTGACAGGTTTGGGTTCAAGTTCCATCGAAGTTTAGAGGTAGGTAGTTGTCATTGGGCGGCCAGGTGTCAACTCAATGCAGTTGCGGCCGCGGCAAGTGTCTATCCTGCCGCCGTGATGTTAGTGCAGACCTGCCGTCCTTTGAGCTTCCATGCGGCATGCAGTGAGGTGAAAGATTGCCTGCCGCCCGGTTCCGTGCATGACGCTGTTACAGCTTCCCCACTTTCGTCCTCCCGTTCACCTCATCGACATTCCACCAAGCGAACAACCCCCTCCGGATGCCCTGACCGAGTGCTAGAGCTGGGAAATTACTCGGGAATTACATTTTGGTAGGTATTGGTCTCTTTGTTGAAGCTTAATTACTAGGTAGACAAATGTCACGGGTCTTCGAGTTCCAAACAACGATCACGACAATGGCAACAACAACGACAACAACGGCGACAACAATAACGACGACACGAGTCAACAGTAATATGTCTTCAGAAAGCCTCATAAACAAATGCTTCCTCGACAACCCAAGGGAGCACAACCCCTTAATATCGACAGCACAACTTAGGCCGGCCTTCCAATGAGACCGACCGTCACACCAAAGGTACGCAACTTGACGCAATTGGGTACGCAGCAGGACCCGCGAACATTCGAGTTGGAGGCTTAAACCGGTAAACCTCCTAACCTTACCCCTCTATGTGAATAGAGGTATCTAACACTGAATTCTCACAGTCGCTTCGTCCTTTACTCTTCCTCGGCGCTTCCCGCGGAGATCCCAAAACCGAACCCAGCGATTATGACAACAACAAACCCCTGGTCGGATCGGGGATCTATGACACCAGCAAGACTGGAATGCGGTTCCTGTTCTCGAATTTCTCCTACATTTTCGTGGCTCATCCCAACAAACGGAGTCGACATTCCCACCTTTGAAGGACGAGAAGACTTCTCGAGAACAGCACTTCAACGGCGACCTTTGGTGAACCGAGTTCGACAACACAACCCATTCGCTATAAACCAGAAATCGGCAGGGCTGCAGTGCTTGGAGCCTACAATGTGCCAATGCCGGGTCTCACCCTACACCACTCACTGAAGGAGGAGAAGTAACAATTGCCGTTACTTCGATATTCACAACACAACTTGAGCTCATCATAGTACTACCTTACTCTACGCCAGTTGCAAATTACCAACATTGTGGAGGAATGATCCAAATTCCTGTCCAGGTACGAGTGACGCCCGCCATCAGGGTTTACTGGATCGGCATTGTCTCGGGACGTCCCACTGTCACATTCCGATCGTCGATGATCCCTATGGAGGCTATTCCAGCCTCTCGGGAATTCAGCTAGAGAGCTACACAACACTGGCACATGATCGACGCAACATCTGGAAGGTCACCCTTTCCAGAAGTAGCTGTCATCGGTATCCCGCGTCAAGAGCTCGGCAGTTTTCTCCTGAATAAACAATATTCAGAAACAGAACGCTGACCGGTGTGGGTCATTCACACCGGTCAAGTCTTGACACATTCTTTACCCAGCCCATAACAGGAATGTTATTTCAGCAACTCCGGCTTCAACTTGAGGACGGGGAGGACAAAGTGGGATGACTGATTGTGGAGGAAGAATATAAGTGCGATATATCCAGGACGTCGGCAGGTCACTGCCATATGGCCATGATCCACGGTTCGGCACCTCATTTTCCACAACCTACCTCACTGTCAGCTCGGTCTTAGCCAGCCATGCGTTCCTTCGCCCTCGCCTTAGTGGCGTCCGCCGCTGGTGCCCTTGCCGCCACCATGCAGATCAACGATTCGCGCTTCCAGAACCACATGGCCCTGACTGTGCTAGAGGGCTTGTTTGGGATGGAGGGCCAGCAGATGCCAGCGGTAAACGGCCAGCAGAACATCGTTGACATGATCATGTCCAAGCTAGCCAACGTCAAAATGGGTACCGCCTCCCCCGATGCTGTATCCGGCACCGACACATCCATCCTGGGGTGGCCAACCTGCAAGGATACTCTGGCTTGCAACTTCAACATCCTGCAGAATGTTTCCATGTCCGACAGGCTCATCTATCTCGTCACCATCCAGGTCAAGCTTCTCGGCGGACCAAACAAGAGCCAGACCCAGTTCAAGGCTGTTGAAGGACTGATGCAGTACTTTATCGACAAGAACCTTCCCAATCCCAATATTGCTCCTTCATACGGCTTGGCTGGTGTTCTTGAGGGAATCCAGCGTGGTACGGCCATTGCCCTGGGAAAGTCAAACGATACGTTTGGTAACCCTAGCTCTCTCATGTGGGCCAGCTTTCTCAGGAAAGTTAGGACTGGTGACTTTAGGGACAGGGCTTCTCACGACGCTGCTTGGTCTCAGGCCTTCCAAGTGGGCCTCAACTATGGTGTCCAGACTGGTGACCGGCTTACTGGTACAACGGTTGGGGTCAATGGTTACGTCGAGATACCAGAGCGCGCGGCTGTCTTCAACATTCTCACCGCTTGGACCATTCTCGCCCAGAATGAGGGCGTCGTTGGCCGTATATTCAGCCTGTGAGTACTCTCATCCCACTCCCTTCCTGCCATGTTGCATCCTCGTATTCATCGCCGCTTTCGCTAGTATCTTTGAAACTGACCAGGCCAATGCCTCTCAAAGTGCCCCCGCCATCTTCTTGCCCCTGCTTCCCTACGGCTTCACAGCCGAAAAGCTTATCAACTGGATCTTTAATGTTTCTGATCCCAAGCCATTGTATTGCCTGGTGGATGCCGCCTTCAACGACCGTGCCATTGCAGCCCTAAGAATCGATCCCACTACGTTTTTGAACGACCTCAACAACTTGATCACGATCATACCCGCTTTTCTACGGTGCTATACGGTTGGAGCGAATATCTAAGTTTTGGACGCGGGCCCTTGGGTTCAATTGTATTGGCCTGGGTGACTGGCGATGAGGAGCAAGGGGTGGTACGCCTGGGTTGAGTACAATGTAGGGAGCACTGAACGAGAGGGAAGAAAGGGTAACCCAGGAAGAAGAGAATCAAATCCCATTGCGAGTTGTGGTATTTTATCACGGTGTGCTAGTCCCGATGCATCCATTTTGATCCAAGAACCATAATACTTCCTGCCTTTCCCAATACCACAACAACTGTCTTCGGCCCTTTTTATGCATTTCAATGTTTACCAGTCCTCCCTACATGCAATTCATCATAACTCATCACTCATAAAATCTTTCCGCCCCTGTCAACTACACTGTTGTCGATGGCGGTAAAGAAGATCGCCTCGGCCTCGGGGTTAGTGTCGTCAAATCGGAGGTGACCCGCTCGTCCAGTCTGGTCCGTCCCATCCCCATTCCTCCTACCACGAATCCAGTCTCTGTTTCTTCTTGGGATATATCACCCTAACAACAGCGTGCACCACAACACTGATAACCATAATAATCTCCACCGCCACTAGTCCGATCCATATTAGATTTAGTCGCTGGTTCTCGTCCCCAGCTAGGGCGGCTTGGATGTTGGCTGGGACGGCTGGGAGTTGAAGGTAGGCGGTGTAACCTGATGGAGGGAGTTGGTCTTTCATTGTGTGGATGTTGTCTGGTGGATGGTAGGGTCGGGGGTTTGAGTGGGTGAGAGGATCGGGGATTTGGGTAGATGGTAGGTGAGAGGTTGGTTGCTGAGTGTGTCGCTGTTGAAGGACTTGCTGATGATTGATGGTTGCTGGCGGCGACTGGATATTTGTCCTTATCTAGGTTTAATGAGCGGGTTGGGTTGAAAATCTCGCGGTGTGTGTTGAAGGTTGGATTCAAGCGGCGAGTGGTCAATTGGTGCTTGAGTGTCTCGCTGTTGAAGGACTTGCTGATGACTCTGAAGTTTGCTGACTGGCACCGGATGTATTTGTATGTACAGCGAGCGACTTTAAAAGGGAAAACCCCGTGGTATGTGATGTGCTTAGAGATTGGACTCCAGAAGCGATGACTCAATTGATTTTCGAGTACCTTGCTTGAAGTTGGTATCTGCTTCATCGGTCAGCTTTCAGCCCATCATCCAGAGCGACGTCATGGGAACTCCAAAGCGAGTAGGTAAGGTACCTATTTTGATCCTGAAGCACTTACAGGTCAAAATCCCAGTTTCTTCACCCAACAACTTACAATAGGGGAGGATATCAACGGCTCGGATCAACAGATGAAAGTTTTCAGGATACAAGAAAACAAGGAAAATGGAGGGCATCAAACCCCAAAGTCCTGGGAGTGAAAAGGATCAAATCTTTCACGTCCCTCCCTCCCGTCCCGTCTCCAACTTTTTCAGGTTCCCTTTCCTTTGCTGACATTGACCGACATATACCACGGTGCACCCACAACGCTAAAACACACGTTCGTATGCAAACCACATGGCATGACACCACCCAGCCAGCGCTCTGGTTGTGCCAGTGCCAAAAAGCCAGTGCAACTGCAGCGGCGCTAGTGCTAAAAGGGCTTAACTTGCACAATGTAGTGAGAGTTTCTCCCTTATTGGGCAGCAAGACTTCCATTTTCACAAGAATTGGTTGGCTTCTGGAAGGAAAGAAAGAAATGGGGCACGAGACCGTTGGCTTTGATACTTATAAGGTGTGGTGAGGTGACGGGTGATGAAAGAGGAGACGAGAACAAGGCCTCTTTGTGCGAGGAGGATATTTTGGGGTTTTATCCTTTGAAGAGTGAATGAAGACTTGATCAATGGCCATGATGGCCGAGAGCGAAATTGACACGCTGGCAAAAATCTCCGATGGCTTGAATGTAAGCCTCCGAACGTCGGTTGAGGTTACTACCCGGTTACGGCTATTCGGTGGCGTCTTCTTAATCTGGGAAAAACGTGGGCAGATTTGGCAGAGAAACCCGGTAAAGAACGCCAAGATTGGTGCTACAAAAGCTGACGGGAGATTAACACAAGGATGTGGAAATAGCTTCAAACTTTCCGTTCTCTTCCTTCGATATTTTTTCTCGCAAGAGACACTCACCATAGAAGCAAAGAACATTTCGGGTTTCCTGAAATCCACTGGCAGTTTGGCAATATGATATGAACCAGCATCAATCACTCCCTCCAGTTACTCCCAACCCCTATCCCTCCCGAGTCCAATCCCGAGTCCAGTGCACTGTCGAGTCCAGTGTCGAGTCCATTCTCGATTCCGATTCCACGGCACCGGTTAGTGCACTCTCGCACGCACGCTTTCTTCCGGCCCTGTTGACCACCGTGTAAACTTCAAGTCCCGTCTTGGCGTGGCGCCAGTTGACCTTTGCTAGGTGCATTGACGGAGTCTTTCGAGATCTTTGTTCATTGTTCCCCTTGATCTTCAACCTTCAAGTCAAAGACAGAAGTGAAAACAAGTTATCCTTCGTGAATATGTCTTTGCCGAGAAGGGAGCGGATGCGTCGGCGTGAGGTCAAGAAAGTCCAGAGTTGTAGCCGGGCTTGACGGGGTATGTGCTATTGGTTGTTATTATGCTGAAGCCGTAAGGCTGATATTGAATGAAGATAGTCATCGATCCAAGGAGGTGATCAGTCAGAAGGACTGGCCAGACTACCTATGAGAGGTACCAAGCGAAAGAAAGGCGGAAGTGGTTGGCACAAAAAGTCCCACCTGCCGGGCAGGCAGTCAAGAATAAAATATGTCATCGGTTGATATTATCTGTTTTGTAGCGAGGAACTCAAAATGTTCCTCTTCTTTCCACAACACCTGAGTAGAATAGGACCATCAAGTTGAGTATATTAGGTTCACGGGGCATGAAGTAAGAGTAAGCAAACTTGAAGCAAAAGCCAGGGAAGGGGGATTATCCGGGAGCACGTATCAAAAGAGAAACTCACCTCGAACTCACTTCATTGATCAAGTGTAATCCTGCACTCATACCAGGATACCGTAATTTTCTTCTCCTCTTCTTCAACCCCTCCACGCGTCTCGTTCTCCCTCCTGGAACGCGACCTCTCCCACTTCAACCACAACCAACTCCCATCAAAACCACCACGTACATACGAACCCCCAACAAGCTCACAGTAGTACGCCTTCCACTCGCCCTCAAACACATACACCTCCTCTCTCTAGCTCTCAACGACTTCAACAAACGTGTCCCGTCTCCGACGAAAAGCATTCCGGCACCGCGCACCGCAAAATCAGAGCATCAGTCAAGACCTCCAGAGACAACCCGTCAAAGCATCAACATGATCTGGTTCTGCCTGGAATCGCTGTACGAACTCGTGTACGCCGTTCTCTTCATCGGCATAGTCATCTTCGACGCGCTTCGTAATCCCGAAAGAATTCCCGGTGAGAGCGAGGTGAGAGCGAGGTGAGAGCGAGGTGAGCGCGGTTGAGAGGGGTAGAGGTGGTACCTATCAACGCGGAGGAGATGATGGTGATGTGGAGGTGAGGAAGAGGGGAGGAGCTGGGCCTCGCTGAGGAGCTCGCTGAGGACATGGTCATTGGGGACTCTGGGGAGGATAAAAGCCTGCTTCAAAATTATTAGGGAACGTGATCAGGCCATGAAGCAGGAGTGGATGGACAAGGTGTTCCATGAAGCAAACAGGGGACTCAAGACCAATACCGTCGAATCAGTTCATCCTTCTCTTTTGGTTCTCAAAGAGCTGCTAGAGCTTGTCCATGAATCAGCGCTATATCAACAGTTGAAACCAACACTTACTTCGCTCGTATCATAACTCAACTTGTGAACCCAACAGAGTTGTTCCGAAACGTTCCATGCTTGCACGCAGGTTCTCATCCCGTCACCGCTTGCCCTTCAACAGTTCCGGAGTGCCCTTCTGCGAGCAGTTGACAGTCTGAGCTTGAAATTTCAGTCGAATATCGTGAGCGATGTATGGTGAAGACACATTCCGACCATCTGTGAGGTTATTCTGGTGTAATAGAAGAGGGAGAGAACGTGCTCAAGCCCTCCTCCAATAGAGTTTCGGCTTCTCGTAGAGTCGTAGTAAAGATCGATGAGCAACGATGAGTATTGCAACCAATCGGGTTTCTTGTCTTGCGTGATGTCCGAGTCTAACATTTCGTAGACCAACCTATGCCTGCTGAACATTTTTGTACTCTGTTGATAGAAGTTATAAACCTCTTCCAGAGTTTTGTGGTCATATAATGATACGTCTCGACATTTGTGTCGATATCATTGGGCGGATGTGGTCATTCATCTATTTGAGACCCACAAAAGATGGTCACGTGCAGAGTCTGGGCAAAATGCCCAGGATCTCGGGGCACCTAGAGGTAGCTTTTTCTCCCCAGACCACACAGCCACACCAAATCAAGCATTCTGGTTTTCGCCGTTTTATATCCCCTTGTGGCCGAGCCGATGCCAAGCAACGGTGGATGCCTCAATGATGCCAACTATTGCAAAAGCGAGGGTTTACACTATAGCGGGCTGGCGGGTATCGACGCAAACTAGGTAGGTAACGACTCCACGGGAAGACCTCAGCTGAAGTTTAGTTCATCAGATCTGCGTGGATATGCGGACGACTCGTAATGCCCTTGCGGACTGGCTCCTCCCAATCCCATGCCGTGCCTTCTGTTGTGGTACCACGCTAACAAGTGATATGCCGGCAGAGGTGTAATGCCCTTGCGGAGCCGGTGGTCCCTTCTTCTTGGCAGCGAGTCGTCAACAAGTCGATAGGAGGCGGTGCCACGAAGATGGAAACAACAAAGCCACCCAGCTTCCTCCACCTTTGCCATGATTCCATTCGCATTTCCAGGGGACACTGACGAGCTGGAGCTGGGCAAGCTGGGCAAGCTGGGCCCGGCGGCGGCCTCCCCCCCACTTCATCCTCAACCTCACCCTTCAAGGTGTAGAGGTGATCTGGAACGAAGAGGACAAGACGGGGGCCAAGCATAACGCCAAGTGTCCCCTGGATGCCAACACAGACGACCAGAACGGAACCAACGAGAGTCGAGTGTGGGGACAGGTCGTGGACCGCATCATGGCGTGCGGTGGGTTTCATCGAGGGACCTCTTCTGTCATACCCCACCAGGCGCTGTGAACTTCTACGTGTAGAACTTCACACCACCTACCCACGAGGAGAAAGGCGGGAGAACCCTGGTGGGTGATGCCTTGAGGCGGTCAATTGGCCGAGTCACGCGAACAAGAGACCCTTCCCCGTATGTCTCGTCGTGTATAAGAAGGCGGTCTCCCCTTCTTCCAACTTGCACTTGATTGTCTTTCTAACCTCCATCCACAAACTTATACCGCCATATACCTATTACCACCCCCAAACCAACACTATCAACATGTCTTTCCACATTACTGCTCAGGAAGCTCGCATCGAGCAACGCGATGGCCACACCTACCTCCTTGCTCGTCTCCAACGCGAGGACGGGTCGTGGAACGACGCTATCTTCAATCTTGACCAGATCATCGGAAACGAGGATGGTAAGTAGTTCAAGCTATCTTCATCCTCAGCAACCTTCAGAAGCTGGACGGAATGCTAACATGGTTCCTCTTCTCTAGGTCACTTCCAGTGGGGTGGTCAGAACTTCACCCACTCCGCCCAGGACATCCGCTTCGACCCCAAGGAGGGTGCCGCCGAGCAGCCCATTCTCCGTGCCATGCTCTGTGACCGCAACGGAGATTACTACCCCCGCGACGTCAACCTCACCGAGATCATTGAGAACGTCAACGGCGAGTTCGCGCCTAGTGAGTCTACTTGCCGTCCAGCCAGCACTGAACTTCAGACACATAAGTACTAACAACTTGCTTCCCCACCAGAGTTTTAAGTAACTAGGACGCACACGCGAAGAAATTCGTTGCCGGCGGCGCAAAGGGACCGTCCGGATGACATAGGGGATGAATACCTGTAACCATAATCTTTAATGGTACTTTGGGGGACAAGACAGACATTGGATACGATAGCAATGAAAGCCTTGTTCAAAAAGCAAACAAACATCGACCGATTCGCACATGCGTAGAGGTGTATCTTGCACTGAGTAACCAGCAGGTAACCAACGCAACCCGTAGCTTTCACTTGACAGGGCGAGTCTTGAGCAGTTCAGCTCGTCAGGGTGCTCGACGAGGGGAAGTGGATCGTGAATGGAGCCCGACATCGTAAGGGGTGGAGATGTGGAAGGGGTTGTGGTGGAGAGATGTAGAGCTTGTGTCCCTGTCAGCTTCGTCAGATGTCAAGAGAGTCGAGACGACGTTCATCCCATCTCCTACCGAGCTCTCCTACTGACAGTTTCCTGAACGCCGGAAGCTCCTGGCCTGGGAGCCGGGATCCCTAGAGGTAGGCCTGGTTTGATGTTTACGGCTTGCTTGTCCTTTGACTTTGAGCTGTTCATCTGAACTGGCAGGGACCCCTAGAACTGAGCTTCGCCCACCGGCTAAAGATGTGACGTAATCCTCGCAATTTCTCGATCATCCGAAGCTGTCGAGATGGAAACAAAAGATCACGACCGAAACACAAGAAAAGACAAAACCGCAACGTGTTTGGATATCAGACGATGGCAAATGAGAGCTCCGCTTGAGTGCTTGCAGAGCTTCCAGCTCATGGAAGCTCAAGACAGCTTGTCGGCCAGTCACAAGGCGCCATGGAAAAGGGGGTGAAGACTGACGAGGGGTTTAAAAGAGGGGCTGAAGAGGGGTACATACTGTAGAAGGGGTTGTGATGGCTCATCAGCTAGGAGCTTGCTGGGAAGCGTGGATGAATCGCTGGTTCTCACGGTTCGTTGGACCCTGGAATCCCACGGTGACGGTGTGTGGTTGTCGCAAGACAATTCGCTCTTGGGCTGCCCTGAGGTTGGCGGCAGGCGAAACCTGACCCTTGCTCATTGCACTAGCATTGCCGCTGCCGACCGTCTGACGGGCCGTCACGTGGGTGCCCCTGGTGCTTGGACAATCGATAAGGGGCGCGATAAGGGGCGCGATAAGCGATAAGATACCGGATAAGCGATAACCCAACATACCTACGTTGTACTTAACCTGACGCCGACAGTGTGGCAGGTCGTTCAATCCACTGGACATGTAAGGCAAAAGACTGGACAGGGAGCTGAGATCCAAAGATGTGTTAGAAGTGCTTGTTCTTATGAAGAGAAGACTGCTCCAGAAGCCCGGAAGCCCTGGGTCTAATGCACATCCCGTCGTCCTCAACCTGGCTCCCAATCAGCTATCCGCTTATCCTTTCCATGGGGATGCCCTCCTTCCTCAGCAGTGCTCTGCTCCTTCTGTTGCAGCCATCGTTGTGATGGCTTCCTTCCACATACAGGCTGTGCCTTCTTCCTTTCGTGTGGGGTGGAAGCAGGTGTGAGGTACAGGCCTGGCAGGCACGCTGCAGCTTGCAGCCGTCGGTCCCGATGTGCTCCAGTTCGCTCAATACATTGTGCCAGATATACTGGTATGATGATTGATTCTGTGTAACTGACTCGAGCGCTCCTCTCCAGAAGGTCTGGGGGGTCTTGGGGTTACGCATATTTACCAAAACTGTAAGTCAGGTGATTGATTGATTCTGTGTGTCTGACTCGAGCGCTCTGGTATGGGGGGTTCTGGGGGTAACCCATATTTGCCAAGACCTGTTAAATCAGGTGGCTGGGACTGGCATCTAGCCCACATCTGGCCAGAATGCCACCCTAGAATCTGACAGCTGGGACTCTGGCATCTACCAGTCTACCACCCATCTCTGGGTAGAATGCTACTCTAGAATCCGACAAGTTGCGATTGAGAGCCCAACCTAAATGTGTCCTTCCTTCTGACAGTTCAATCGCTTGGGATCCCACAGGAAAACTTGCCTCAGGACTCTTCGCTTCTTTTTCACTACACCATTCCATCAAATACGCCGACTTCATTTCAGTTCAACAGCCTTTTCGTCATGAGCCTTGAGCAAGACGAATATACGCATTCCTGTGCCTTCTGCCAGCAGTTCGTGATAGACCACAGCGAAGAAAATGGGGGACTCTCAGCAACCCGTCGTCAGATGCTGGACCGGTTCCTTCTCCGTGCGGGACTCGAGGGGCCTGACGAGTCGCATCCCGAAGAGTACGAAGAGGAGCGTTCAACGCACCGGACGGACCTAGCAAACTTCATCTTATTCGATGTTACGACAAAAGATCTTAGGTCACCGGCTGTGAAAGACTGCATTCTTGCAAAAGACCTGGTCCAAACCTTAAATCGAAAGCGAGGAAATCGTAAAGACTATATTGATGCCATGCTTGCGGCCAAGTTGGTACCTGTATCTTATGGCCATGGGAGCTGCGAGGCGCCAAGAGCTTACTTGGATTTTTTTCTTTATGATCCGAGACCAGCCTGTCCGAGACGTTCACGCCCAGGCAAGCCGACTCCCGACTACTGGACGAGACCACGGCTCATCAAGAGGTATTCCACTATGGCCGAGGAAGGTGCGTAAGATCAATAAACTGTTTCTTGGAATACGTACGGTTTCTAACAACAGTATCATGCTCTATCTTATATATGCCGCCTCATCAGTTATCACTGGTCCCCTGGTCACGTTCTTCCCACGCCAGCACACGCTAGATCACAGCCGCTCCTGGCTATGCACTTGCGTTCACGGACGTGGTGAGACCCGGCATGCTGCTGGCCCATCGTATAGGCCTAAGCGACTGCTCGCTATCAGCCAAGGTGATCCTCAGACCAACTCAACGTTTGTTGTCATCGCAGACAATACCCAGAGAGTTCCGTATGCGACTCTCTCATACAAATGGGGTCAGGGGCAAGAACCAATATTGACCAAGAAAATGTTGAGGGAAGGCCCAGGTTCTTTGCAATTTCACATCGATCGCCTGCCTCAAACTATTGCCGACGCCGTGTTCGTCTGCCAGTCACTCGGGATAGGGTACCTGTGGGTGGATGCTTTGTGTATCATCCAAGACGATGGACAGGATAAAGCCGAGCAGATTGGACAGATGCAGCAGATATATAGCCAATCCACCATTACGATTGTCGCGTCCAGGGCCAACTCTTCAAGGGACGGATTTCTTCATCCCCGGCTTTTGGGGGATGCCTACTGCCGACTGACCTACCGCAGTAAGGGAGGAAATGAGGGCAGCATCATCTTACACCGCGTGTCAAGACAAGAAGAGGCATTGGAGCCTTTGCATGAGCGTGGTTGGGCATATCAGGAATTCTTGCTTCCGCCTCGTGTCATTGACTACGGCAGATTGCAGACAAAATACCACTGTCGGGAATGCGAGTCAACAATTACAGATGGCGGGAGGAGCTCTGAAAGCGCCAAGATGCTGTTGACACGGCGAGGGGCATTCTATGAGCTATTGAAGAGGTGCCGTGGTTTAACCGAGCTGGGAGGGGAAAAAGTAATCAACAAGATTCACGCCAAGCGGTTTTCGCACTCCGACCCAGCAACATGGAACCTGAAATACATGTGGTGTCTGTTTGTGGAGGAATGTAGTAGACGGCATCTCACCATCCCAGCTGATCGTCTGAATGCCTTCTCCGCCATTGCCGAGGTTGTCTCCAAACTTACTGACCAAATGGACGAGTATCTTGCCGGCCATTGGCGGTCAAACTTGCCACGGTCCCTGATGTGGCGCAACCTCGACGAACTCGGGGTCAAGTACCATTCCTCGGAGGAGTATATTGCTCCCTCATGGTCATGGGCTTCCGTCGTGGGAAAAGTCAGGTTTGGCGGTGGTGACGACGTCGATGTCGACTTTAAAATTATCGATTGTCGAGTCCAGGTTACTAATCCCATAGCCGCACCGTTTGCATCTGTTTCGTCTGGTTGTCTACACGTCAGGGCCAAGACCCTCTGGGGAAACGTGAGCCATCGCCCAGAAGAATTTGAAGTCCGTGGAAGAGAACACAACATTCGCATTCCCCTAGACAGTCTCCCCCCGCCTTTCAACCTCGATCGACCCGATTTGCCTAGGTATATTCCCGACGGAAGGATTGAAGAAATGACAGATGGGACTATGGAGGATTTTATGCCGGTATTGCTGGTAGTATTGAGCATGCCACCCGACTCGTATCCGCGAACATCCGGGATGGTAGTCAAAGAGGCTGGAGACGGATTATATCGTCGCGTGGGTTGGTTCGAACGATTGGAGTGTATCTACAGAAGGGCTTGGCCGGTTACAAAATTTCCCTCGGATTCGTGCCCAGAGCCAAACGGGCTACAGGGCAGACCGTTGGACATGAAACTTGTCAAGGAGACAAGGGAGACAAGGGAGGCATGGTATAACATCTTTGAAGTCAGGGAGCTCAAGATTATATGATTCGGTTCTCCGGCAAGTTTCCCTTCGGTATGCCGACCAGCACCAGAGCCGAGTTGGGAAATCAACAGAAACCTAAGGCCCCCTACCCGCTGATTCAAGTTTATTCCTGGCAACGATAAAAGTCTCAACCCTGGACCTTTGAAGTCAAACTACCAACGGCCCGGAATCTATGCTGTATCACAACTCCATACCTTACTTCACCAACGAAGAGTGTGTGGCCCGCTGAGGATGGTACGAACTTCGAGACACAAGGCAGTCAACCGAAACGCAACAGGATCTATAGGTCAATAACCGCAACTCTATTGCAATACCTACACCTGTCACATCAAGAAGATGTAGTGATCTCAGAGTACAGAAGGGAGGGAGGCGGTTGTTGTGTAGGTAAATGTATAGACCGTGTGTAAGTCAGGGCGCTCGGAGCTATCGCTTGATGTTAGGTAGTTGGGAACTTGAGGGAGGTGGATGATGCCCGCTTGTTCAACGTTGAACGGGCACTACCTACGCTATCTGATTTGCAATGGATCTGCAGAAGTTTATAATTCTTTGGTCAGCCGCTTCGATGGAGCCGTGGCGGATGGTATGGGGTCGTTATTGTTTCCTTTCCTCTTCATGGGGAAGAGCAATTCATTTTTTCCATAGCGTCCGGACGGAGATCTGTGGTGTTGATGGTTGTATGCATAGACTAATTGAGTACTACTAGGTTGTTTTCCAAAATTTAAACATCACGTCCTGGATCGTGACGACACCCAATGGTTCAATGTTGCAAATCTGTGCAAGCACTCCATTTTAGCGGACGATGCCGGGAGCCGCACGGGAGGCTCCACCAAATCAGGAGCATGGGGCGGCTGGGATTTACGGCGTACTGGGCTAGGTAGACCTGAGACATCCTTGTAACCTGGACTTTTTTTTCTTTTTCTTCTTTTGACCGTTCCTCTCGAAAGGAATCGCGAGTTACTATCCGCAACCGATAAATCCTTGTATGAAACTTCAACTATCTCCCGACGACTACCGTCCACCTTCTTCCTGGTCCGCCCATTTCCGTTTTACCACATCCAAATCCACTGGTCATGAACATAATGACGAGTTCACGACAGACCGACTCCATCTCTGCCCTATTCAGCATCAGTCATGATTGATAAGCTGATGCGATAAGGCCCGGTGTCGGTGTGGTCTGGAAATCTTCGACTGGAGTTTTACAACGCTGGTGCTACGTGACCAAGATCCACCTTCCTAGCGGTGGAACTCCCTGTTGGGTGATCTTTTTCCCCCTTGTACACTAGGAGAAAAAAATCCCATGTGGGACCATTGATTCTTCGAGGTTCGGATCATGGTTCTCCGAATTCTCTTTGATATCTACTTAGATCCTTCCCTCCCTCCACCAAAGAGATCTAAAATGTCATTGTCGGTGAAGATAAGCTCTGTCGCACTTGGCCTCCCGAGTTAAGGTCAAACAGTGTACAGTCAAGCATTTCCGAACGCTCTTGCTGTCCACTTAAAACCCTTGACTTCGTGTTGACGGGAAGGTGCTGTTAGCTTGACTGGAATACGACTCAACCCCTGGGAAGGAACCGAAGGCAACGAACGAGAAAGCAGCAGGAACCGGGTCTCTCTTGCTCTACAAGGGCATAGTTTGCGTGGAGGAAAGGCAGTCGACAACCACTCCGACAATCACTGCCCGCTCTGACCACGATGTCAGCAACACCACGCCTTTCGCCTGGCGGACACCCGGCCGACCTCAACACCGAAGGGTACCGCGAGAAGGGAGTGGACTCATCGAGTCCATCATCAGAAGGGGAAATGGAGGAAACCGATCTCGAACATGCGGCAGCACAAAGCCAACGCGACGATCTGGCCCGCACCCAATCCCAAGCGCACTCCTTCCTGGCGCCAAAGCTCTCGCTGCCTCACGAGATCGCCTTCGTGGGCGTCACCTGCTGCGCCCAACTCACGACGCAGGCTTCCATGGGTCCCTCGCTCAGCATCGGCAGGGAGATCGGAAGAGAATTCGGTGTCATGTCTGCTGCTGACGTTGCCTGGTATTTGGCTGCCTACGCCTTGACGATCGGTACTTTCATCCTCATCTGCGGCCGCTTGGGTGACCTGTTTGGGCACAAGAGGATGATGGTCATCGGCTATACGTGGTATGCGGTTTGGACGATGATCTGTGGGTTGTCGGTGTATTCGGACTCGGGAAATATCATGTTGATTGTGTGCCGTATGTGTCTAGTCCTTCCCATGCCCATCTTCTTTCCAAATTCGTGCGCATGAAAATACTGACACATGACCCAGGCGCTTTCCAAGGCATCGGGCCCTCTATCCTCCTTCCCAACGGCCTCGCCATCCTAGGCGGCAGCTACCCCGACGGTCCACGCAAGCACATGGTCTTCGCCCTCTTCGGCGCCATGGCCCCCGGCGGTGCCACCCTAGGCTGCGCCATGGCCGGCGTCTTCGAGCTTGCCTGGTGGCCCTGGGCCTTTTGGTCGTTCGCCATTGCGCTCCTCTTCCTCGCCGGTGCCGCGCAGCTCATCATCCCTGACAGCGTCGACGCCCACACCACCAGCAGTTCCTTCGTCGACAAGCTCCAGCAACTCGACGCTCTCGGCGGCACCGTCGGCGTCGCGGCCTTGGTTCTCATCAACATAGCATGGAACCAGGCGCCCATCGTCGGCTGGACCGAGCCGTACACGTACATCCTGCTCATCATCGGCATCCTCCTCGTCCCTGTTTTCTTCTGGATCGAGCTCCGCTGGTCGTCCTACCCGCTGCTCCCCCTCGACGCCCTAAAGTCTGGCGACATCGCCTTCGTCCTTGGCTGTCTCGCCTGCGGCTGGGGCTCCTTCGGCACCTGGCTCTTCTACAACTGGCAGTGGTTCCTCGAGATCCGCGGCGAGTCGGGTCTGATGGCGACCGCTTACTTCTCACCCGTCGCCGTGTCCGGCGCCATGGCCGCTGTGGTGACTGGTATTGTGCTAAGCAAGATCGGCCCCGCGTGGACCGTCGTGTGCGCCATGTGCGCTTTCTTCACGGGAAACATGCTCCTCGCCACCCGCCCGCTGGAGCAGAACTACTGGATTCAGAGTTTCTTGACTGTCGTGATTACCCCTTGGGGCATGGACATGATTTTTCCGGCGTCGACGGTGATTCTTAGTAACGCGGTGGGGAGGAGACATCAGGGGATTGCGGCGAGTTTGATCAATACCGTGGTGAACTACAGTATTTCGATTGGGCTTGGGTTTGCGACGACTGCGGAGGTGTATGTGAACAAGGGAGGCACGAGCAAGGAGGAATTGCTAAAGGGTTATAAGGCGGCTTCCTGGGTGGCGGTGGGAATGACGGCTTTTGGACTGGTGTTGAGTGTGGTGTATCTGGCGGTGGATATTAGGAAGAAGAGGAGGGTTGGGAGGGCGGTGATGTCGGAGGAAGAGGAGGTTAAGCGGTGAATTTGGGGAGGGGTGAAAATTTGTCATGATGGCATGATGTGAGCTATCGAGTCAGGATCTCGATGGGATGAATGCGAAGATTAATGTTTAGTAGCAAGTACGATGAGGATTGATACCCACATGCCACCAAGTACGGGGCAGCGAAGAAGAGACGAAGATAGACACGATATAATACGCTATATGATCCAAACCTGGGTCTCTTGTTTGAACGCCCTTGACTCCTTCCTTCACAAGAAATGAGTCTGTCAGACTCATCTCACAGGACTCCAGCTGTTCCAATAACAAGCAGTGATTGTTAGCCCTCTTGGGATACGGATACTCAACCGCTAAGCCAATGGGGTTGTCATTGTCCACTATATCGTGCCAGTCTTACCTTCACCGAGACTAGCTGACAAGAGAAGCTCCGATGTTACACTCAGCGAGGCATCCATGTGTCACAGAGACAGCAAACTTGATGAAGTAAGTTATCAATTCGTTGCTGATCGCTACCTGGAGGTATATGGATCAAAGTTCAGGCAAAGCATCATTGACCGGTGAACTCATTAGCAGCAGCTAAAGGCCATATCGTCCATTCCAAGGCTGAATGAATGACAGTAGAGGTTAGTTCGGCTTATCCCGTTCTTTGTTACCAGACCTCTCTCTACCTCTCAGTCCCTCAACACACAGAATGGACCCAGCTGCTCTAAGGACCCAATCTTCAACTGGAAGTAGGTAAGCATGAGGTAAGCTGCACAATCAGTTCGATCAAATTACCCACCCATCATCAAGGTATGCTGTGTTGAGTAATCGGATAACAACAACAAAGGGTGCCGTCCAGGCTAGTAACTAAGTGCGCAGCCCCGGACCCCTTTGTTAGTTTGTCGGCCCCGACATGGAGGGTTTGGTCGACTTGGTCTCTTGGCTGCCAATGCTTGGTCGAAGACTGGAGATATGTTTTCTTTGTTGTCTTTTACCTCAAGCCTTACCCTGACGGGTTCA